TAAAAGTTCAAATTGACAGAAAAATACATTGAAACGTCTGATTTTAGTGGCATAATAACAAAGAAATCATCTGGTAAAAGATTTCTGATTGGTAGTTTCAGATTATGAAAATCTTATTCATTGCTCTAAAACTTTAAATAACTAGTACAGATTTATGTTAGCAAATTTGTAGAGAAAATAAAATCTAAATTAAAGTGAAGGCATATTTAATTGCTCATTAATAATCCTTCTTTCATAGATTCATATCTTCTTGAAAAACAATACAATGCTTTGAAATAGAATAAAGGAGGTACTGATTATAATCTGATTACTCGGAAGGTAGTGCAATTTGTCTTTGAGCATTCTAATTAACTTTTCTTTCTCCCAGAATTTCTTTTGTTCTGTACTAGTTTTGTTAAGAGAAGCCTTATTCCTAGAAGTCAATTACAAGCTAAAGGAGACCAGAACTGTAATAATTTGAATAAATCCTAATTAAGACAAAAACTACTATTCCATATGAATATAATTGTGCTCAATAATGATTTCAATTAACCTGCATACCTTTCATCTAACACATATATTCTAAATATATATTAATTTATTCTCCATACATAGGTAAAGATAACCAAGCAAAAAGTTGTTCCATCTAAAATTTTTAAACATTAAAATTGTTTTCACAATTCACATGTGAAAACGCATGTGAAGAACATGTGAAGATGTCCTTCACATCTCTAAGGACCTCACATGGGCACTAAGCACCTCCAGTCTCATCAAGAAGGCACAACAGCAGCTGTACTTCCTGAGAAGATTGAAGAAAATACGTCTGCATCCACAGATCCCTCACCAACTTCTACAGATGTACGGTGGAGATCATACTGACCAGCTGCATCATAGTCTGGTACAGAAACTGCACCACATCCGACTGCAAGGCCCTGCAGCGGGTGGTCAGAACTACCCAACACATCATTGGCAATGCCTTACCATCTATCCAGGAAATCTACAACACCAGAAGTTTGAAAAAAGCTACTAAAATGATGTCTGACCCCACTCACCCCAGTCATAACTTGTTTGTCCCCCTACCATCTGGCAGAAGGTTCCGGTCGCTCCAGTCACACACAACTATAAATAGCTTCTTCCCCAGAGCCGTTAAGCCGGTGACGCCCCCACTCCCTCCCATCATACTATGATCTCTCCTCACTTCTTCCTGTACTCACAACGACTGTACTCCTACACCACTACATATACTGTACAACAACTGAATGTAAGCCGAAATCATACTTAAAACTGGACTAGTTTAATTTTTACTAGTATTAGTATTATTTTTGCACTGTTCCCCGAATTACTTTTGCACTGTTTTTGTCCTGTTGTATATTTTTCTCTGCACAGTAAGTTTGCACAGTTTTTGATTACATTGTTATGTTATTACACAGTTATTGTTATTGTGTTACTGTCTATTGTCTTGTCTTCTGTTCTATTTATATACTGCACCCGAGTGACTAATGAGAAACACTTTTCACTATACTATGCCCCCTTATAAGTATAACGACAAAAAAAGTTGAATTGAATTGAATTGAATTAGGACCATTTTATATTTTTGCCTGGACCTTGTGTTCTTTTTCAAGGCCTGATGTACAGTAACTAAGACTCCATGAAAACATATACTCGAAAACAATAGCAGTATGTTTACAATGTGTGATCAGTCAATACTGTCCATTAAGTACCATATTTCTAAAGTTGTTTCTTAATTAACTTTTTGGGCAGTAAATACAGTAAAGTGAGCATCTGATTGAAATGAGAATTTGGGAACGGGGGGCACTGAAAAATGATTTTTTTCTTCAAGGAGTAATTCTGATGTTATTTTAATTATATGTATCCACACAATCATCTGAAACTCACTTAAACTTAGTAAGGACTTGGAAACCCTTTCTGCAAACATAGGGCACAAGGATGTCAGTCCAACACAATGTACAAAGTCCAACAAGCACATAGGGACAAAGAGACAGAGTCATCAATTAACCAAGCAGCATGTCTTGGGCAACACTAAGAGAAAATGAATGAGGACATGTGGGGAGAACATACGAGTTCTAGTTCTGCCCGTCTACATTGTATGGGCGACAGGGCCTTCTCCTGCTATGCCCCCAAGCTCTGGAACTCTTTGCCCAAGAATATTAGAGAGTCACCTTCTCTAAACTCCTTCAAATCCAGACTCAAAACCTTCTTCAGAAAATCCTTTACTTAACTGGTTCCATTCTTCACCCCTCTGCTCTTCTTAGTACGACCTTCCACGGTCTCCTCTATTGTTATTGTTGTATTGCTGTAATTGTAATTGTGTCCTATCTTGTGTATTCTTCTTATTTATTGTTGTAGTCTTCTTATTTATTGTTATTGTCATCCTCTTAAGTGCTTTGAGAAGCCACATTTAAAGGCGCTATATAATAAAGTTTATTATTATTATTATTATTATTATTATTATTATTATTATTATTATTATTATTATTATTATTATTATTATATGGGAGGCAAAGCAAAAATTGACCACAGTACCCAAATACTGCAAAGCAGCCGGACCAACCACCATGCCACTATGTCTTCTTTTAAAGTTTGTGTACAATTTCATAAATTATGCTTTGTTCCATTTTATACTTTTATAGTAATACTTCAGTACTTTAGAACTTTAGAACATGTATAAAACTGCAATTCCGACAATATCATAAATTTGGAACATTTAATGTTTCATAGGTTGCAACATATATCAACTCTCCACTTGTGACATATTTTACTACAATTTATGCAAGGTAGTATGAACATGGTAGAAACAGGAATATTCAATATGTAATATTAAATATGCATCAATTACTAAAAAGTTTAAATTAGAATATTCTTATCAGACCCAAAATGCAGGAGAGTTGCTGGTGTTATTTCGTACTAAATGTCTGATGAAATTTGTATATTTTAGTGATGGTTTGAAAGGTGAATTTAACTTTCAAACTCCAGTACAAACTGTCTGCTAGTGCAATTGTTTGTGCATATTGGATCATGTTGCAAAACAATTCTGAAATGTATTTCCTCTAAGTGCATGTTTACAGAGCTGCCATTCTAATTGATTAAACTAAAATTACTCAAAAGAGAAATGTGATCTTCAGACCAAATCTCCATGTTCTATTGAAAAACAAATGCATCTTCAATTAATATATGTATATATTTATAAAATATCTTATTAAAAAGATCAACAATTTTCTTATCTGGCAAAAAAACCCTCAAATTTTCAGTTTAGATATCTGAATGAAATGTTAGAAAAGTTCTACATTTAAAGACTCCACATAGTGTTTAGTGTTTATTGTATTGGTTTAATAAAATAACAATACTCCCTTGCATTTATATAGCCATTTTAATCCCAAAGAATCTCAAAGTGAAATACATATTGGAGAGGACAGATACCATCCATCACTGAAGTACAGAACTAACTTTGTTGAAGCACAGCAGCTGTTATGCACCAGTAGTCCCAATAAACAGCAGATTGGGTGGGAAAAGTGAGAAATTACTTAACCAAGTGAATTAAAGGAGAAATGTAGGTAAATCAAATTGTGGAAATACGAAGCATAATTCAAGATGCAAGGATTGACACCTCTAGTCTTATGACCTGAATCATGGGATCTTTTATGAGCAAGTATTCAAGGACCTCAGATTAACATCTCAAGACTGGTAGGTCCTACAACCCCTTTTAATATACTTCTAAAGAGATCTGGGCACAAGGTGCTTAGAGTGCTATTAAAATTAAATCTAACTGCTCTATTTTCTTACAACCAAAATACATGCTGGCCAGATCTTTAATTTTCCCCTCACATTTGTTTGTGTGCCATGTGATGGACTGTGGCCCCATCCAAGGTGAAGTCCTACCTTGTGCCCTGTGCCCACTGAGCTATCCCCTATCACCTCTCTCCATATCACTTCCAAGATTAAATCTCTAAGGCAAAGTGTATGCAACTGCTAGAAACCCCAGATTAATGTAAAAGAAAAGTTAATTTCATGTTTTTGTTTCCCCTGAAATAACAAATATATATGTCTTTTGATTGAAGTGAAATTATGAGGTTTCTCTCTCAGGTGCAATGTTTAAAGTGCAATCTTGATTCCATCCTTTTCTTGATATCTATTGAGAGTGATCAGTTATGGTAGATAAACTATATCGAAATCAAGTAAAACATAAACATCTCCAAGCTAGTAAGAGGGAAATGTCAAAAAGAAACAAAGCTGTATAATCCTAAAATGGAAAACTTTTTTTTTTAAAGTAGCAAAATTTCAGAACTAATCTGGTCCATAATGCTACATACACATTGTTTTAGACTTCAGTTTTTGTCTTTAATTAGTGAACATGCTTATTTTCAATTCAGTAATAGCATACCTTTTGGAAATTCTACACTTCATGTTCTCTTTACAAAGCTGTTGTATAAAATGTACTTCAATAGTGTTATAGTGTTATATTGTATACAATCATCAAAAAATAATTTGGTAACTTGGTCCACACTCAGTGAATGGGTAATACAACCTAAAATAAGTCTTATGTTTTTATTTTATATTTACAAAGATGAAGACAACTATAGAGTGTATGTATAATATATAACAATGTACAAAATAAGGCCTGAGAGTGAATACATGAATTTAACTACTGAAATTTAGTTAAACATTACGATTACATGGTATGACTTAAGTGGAGCTTTTGGTCTTTACAAGCATGAAGAACATGAGATATACTGTATTCACAGTCCATTATAACAATGTGAAGGAAAGCCTGAAATTTCACAATATATACAGTATATTTCTAAATATAGCCAACTGCCTAGCAAGTTCACACATAAAAACAAACTATAAAATGACTTTTTGACATTTTAAGAATTTAATTGATGTTGATGTATAACAGAGAGATAAATTAACCACTAATAAAAAATGTGATTGCCAGGCATCAGTATTCAGTCAATCACAGAAATAAAAACTTTTGTGTTTGTGTGGTGGCACATGGACAAGAATGAAATTAAACAGTGGCTTTATTAAAAAAAGTATGACACTTTGCAATTAAACATTAGTGATGAAAATAATCTTTAATCCCACAATATTGCTTCTGATTACGATTACGTATGATTATCTTTAAAACTGTCTCAAGATTTGTCAGGTTGCATCATTTTAAATAAAGCATGAAAAACAAGCAAGAAGCATAAATAAGTTATATTTAGTCATCAGCAAAATAGACCCTATTGCACATTTCCATGCCTCTGGGATATTTACAAAAGTGAAATCTAAAGCACTCTAGGCTGTACAAATGTCAAAACCACTATTTAATTAAAATGTACATTATTTTCGTTTCTTAATGCTGTATAAACAAAATATACAACAGTACAACAGAGAACTTACTTTTCCTGCCTTTGTACCTCAAGTGTCTACACATCAGACATGCTTCCGAATCCCAAGAGGTTTCAGGTTGTGACTAAACATTCTGAAGGATCACTATGGTTTCAATAGAAACACGATGGTTTGCTGTTGTTGTCTGTCAGTAAATATGGAAAAGGTTTAATAATTTTTAATAGGAGCTGATTGTGGAACTGCTTCTTGTTGCTTACAGTCGGTTTAAAAATGACAGAGATAAAAAAAAGTTAAATGTAGATATATCCGCAGTCGGTTTATAGGTTGCACTGCAGTCTCATCTTCTTGCATGGAGTAAACATACCAAAATGTTGACCTGTTCGTCATTATTTGAGCAACACTTCTGAATTGGCCACAATGATCCTGATTCCTTCTAGCCTACGATATGTTGAATTATTATGGACTGTATCATCAAAAAAAGAGATGGAGGGGGTGGGGGTGGGGGAATGCAGGACCTGTCAGGTGGAATATTTAATCTTTCCTGTTCCAGCAGCACAAGTAGCAGGAGCAGGTGCTGAAGCAACAGCAGCAGCAGCAGCACCCTGACTTCCCACATAGAGAGGGTCCAGGCAAGCAACTTTGGCAGCAAAGAAAGAATGTATACAGTGAAGAACTGCAAAGAGATTTGAAAATTCCAGCTCCTTCAAAGGAAAAGAGAAACAATGAGAAAAGCAGACAGTGATTTACATTCAGTGTGACACAGATACAGTAGACAGCTAATATGGCTGTTACAGCTGTAGACAACTCAAGTCTGCCATAATTTAAAAACAAAATCATTTAAAGTGCAGTTTATTATTGTCTGTTGTCAATTATCAGCCACATTGTGTTGGCTTGCAAAGGAAAAATGGTTTTCTGACATTTAAATACACAAAACTACAAGTATATACAGTACTGTACTCTCGTGTCTGGGAATGAGAAAAAGCATGCACTCAAACTGCCCCCCACACCCTGCCCATGCAGTTCAAAAGCTGACAATTCATCCAAAATCTCCTGAACCGTTTGGCTTTCTGGGCTTGCTTCAGTTCATTTGGGAAGACTGGAAATATACAGTATCAACACACATCAATCGAAGCAGGAGGTGATTCTGCTGAACCCAGGCTATAGCTGGCTGTAGTAAATCCATAATATTATTGTGGCTTCATGATAAAGAAGAACAATTTGAAGAATAGAAAAGAGCATGTAGTATTATAAAGAATCAGGAAAATAATATAAGAAGATACTGTCATATTGGCAAATAAGAAGAGTCATTTGGGCATATGTTTTTGGTAATTAAGTAACTAAATCAAACTTAATATGTATCCAATTGTTTCTTAAAAGATGCTAGATTCTGAGTTTCAACGACTTAGCTGAGAAGCCTATTCCAAACACCAGAAACCCAAAGTGTCAACTTTTGTGTGCTTTGTCCTGAATGAACTCTCATTTAGTTTCAAATTATAACCCATGTCTTTGTTTCACAACTGAGAATTAAATACTTCTTTTCCATGTTTGAAAATATTTCAATTGACATGTTCCAGACCCAAGTGAACAATATACTGTAATGTGGAAAAATGTGTAATAGCAGAAACACAATTGCTTCCTAATATATTTTAAAATATGATATTCCGTATGCAATTAAATAGACCTTGAAGCAAAAAATACATTTCCATGAGCTTTTTATTCATAGATGATAATATGTAGAGATGCAGCCATTTAGAATGCGCGTCAACATTCGTGCCAGCAGAGTGCATGCTGAGGTATACTGCAGTCCTGTCTGGCAGACCCCTTTCAGCCTTTCACTGCTCCAAACAATTTGATAGGTGGCATATTGTAGTTGTAGCTGTAAGTTTTATTAGATATTACTGAAACAGTAACTTCATTTTATCTGTTTTTATTAGTCAAATAATTATATTTGTTGAAAATGTAACATGTTGTATGTCATATTATATGTTATATAGGACATACAATACACAGCATAGCTACTTTTTATAATGTAACATGTCTGTACATTTTTTTGAAAAGGTGATTACATGCCATGAATAAAACTAGACATTAGATCACTACAGTATGTGCGGTACTTCGAAGTAGAGGATTGTAACACTTATGTACAGGAAGCCCACAGTACTTTTTTAATATCTACTTAATTTGTAATTATGTAACTAAAGAGACATTTTGGTAGCTAAAAATAAACATAAAAATATAATTAGGTTTATGAACATTATCGATGATATTAAATTATGTGTATAAATATAATATATTCACTGCATGTACTGTTCAGCCATGTGTAGTGGTGGCTGAAAATAAAACCATTTACTGTCAATTTTGATAAGATACTTTATGCAGTTGTCAAGAATGCCTGTGGTACTGTATTTATATGTAAAAATCTAAAATAATATGCAACACATGGGTTTATCAAAAGAAATGTTAGAGAATGTACAAAACAGCATTCCACCTCAATCGTAAACATTTTTTGCATTGAATTCTTTAACTCGGACACTTGCTGTTGTTAGTTTGGGAAATTTTTTTAACTGCATTTCTCATAAACACTTGCAAGGTTCAAACTAAAAATGATATACAACATATATTTGCACAAATAAGTTATATAAGTAATTATAAACCATCAAGGTTGGAAGGGACCTGCAAGACACAATGAAGCAGAACCCGGGTTATATGGGAAGTGTAGTTTTTCCAGCAAGTAAAAAGATTTTGTCATGTTTGTTATGTTTTATGATCTATTTTGGAAGCTAAAAAAATAGAAATACTGTTTTGCACAGACACAAATGTAGTGAAATGTAGCCTAAATCAGTAGAAAAGCATCTTATTTTTCATTAGGAAATTTTTTAAACTGTACCTGTTTACACATATTGACACACAATTACATTACTAGTACAACACACGTGTCTTCTTGCGATATTAGGCGATAAACAGTTAAATCACAATTTTATTTATTATTGTCTTCACAGATGTGGCTTATTGCCACTGAAATAAAGATAATATAAAAATTACTACTTTTCTAATTCCTATTAATACAATAATTATTCATTATTTTATACCGTATATATGTCTTTAAACAGGTAATTTTATGATCACTGATACACTGTTATACATCTAATTTGGAATTGTCATTGTTTGTAGCTAGCACTGAATATGATCAGCGTATAAAATAACTATTAGGTTAATAAGCATTTAATTTTGATTCACCATAGTACCTATTCATTATTATTATTTAATCTCACTACACACAACATTCTCTGATGTGATCCAGAAAAGCCGACATTCTCGATACCATTCAGTGTCTTAATTAAGTGATTTTAATGTGAATATTGTGGCTTTTTTTAGTTGTATTTTAACATGTTCACAATGACTCAAGTTATTTTTACAAGCACACTTGCCTTGACTGACAGTACACCATTTAGCAGTAACATGGTGGTTGGGAGATTTTCACTGTATTACCTGCCTGTGTTACACAGTAGTGCAGTTCTGCATTCGATAACCAGGTAAAAATAAAAATGGGGTGCTGCACATCGTCTCTGTACACCATTGTGCCTACCGCAGCATGCCTATGGACGCCTCGCACATTCTAGATGGCTGTATATCAGAAAAAAAAGCATTTATCATCTTGTTTAGAATTGATCAAGTATGTCGTAAAAAAGAATCTTTTTGAAAGTGCTTTATTCATTTACCTAGTAAATAACATAGCAATTTCTCTAACTAAAATTACATTTAATACATATATAAGGACATATGTCTGAAAATATAATTCTCCAGAAAGGTATTGGGTTAAATAAAAGAATGATTCGTAGTCAAATCATTTCATCAGCAGAAAAGTTGTTACCTTGGCTTCAATGAGTTTAGTGTCTTGATTTTGGAACAAAAATTTTATTTTGCTCTTTCCATCATCAGATGACCCCTTCAACTGGGAAAACTTGTAGCGCCAAAGGACTGCCTGAACAGCACAAATATCAAATTAATTTCTGTCAGTATACTAATAGCATTATATTCCAGAACAGTACAAATAATATTTATAGGGGTATGCTTTCAAACTACCGGTATATATTCCCATCTTGTTTTCTCTAATATTTGACTTTATTTACATGATTTTGTCAAATATTTTAAGACAAAGATTTGTGTAATCTTTAATCCATTTAGAAAGTTATTAAACCTAGTAGTTCAGGTGGGTAGCTGAGTCAGCATGAGTAGGCTGCAAAGGAACAAGTAATAGGTTTATTCCATGCTGAAAACAGAAGAAAGAAAACACAACGTTTCGGCTGTGGAGCCTTCTTCAGGTTCACACCTCACACCTGAAGAAGGCTCAACAACCGAAACGTTGTGTTTTCTTTTTTCTCTTTTCAGCATGGAATAAACCTATTACCTGTTCCTTATTAAACCTAGTTGACTGGGAACTGGGATCAAATTATACACAAGTATTAAACTCTCCCATTTTAAGAGCTTAAATCCCCATCAGAAGCAAAGAGAGGAAATTAATATTTTGAATTTAGGGCCCCAAATGTCTAAAGTTTAGTGTTAGACAATTACATTTCTCAACAGAATAAACAAAGGTGCACTATAGAACTAAAATATATCATATTGTTCCTAGTGATCCTTTTTAACATGATGTTAAACCTTCTTTCAATTGTGAGGACAACATGTGTTTTTATTCATTTGAAATTCACATAATACATTGCCTTTGCTTAATTCAGATAATGAATGTCAACATAAAAGGTCACTGTGCTGAAAAATTAATAGAAAGGATAAAAATGAATTAATTTTAATCTTTTGTCTGCTTACCCAAGAATACTTATCAATCCAGTCATTGGGATTCTGGGCCCAAACTCCTAGAGGGCTGTTAATGATCTGTTTCCTTATTAATTTACTTTAAGCATTGTTTCCCTCACTAGTTTGAAACATGTGAATATTCATAACTGCAGAAAGATTGGATTTACTTCATTAACTTACCTTTGATGCTGCATCAAAGCAAATAAATCCCATGCTGAAATCTATTGTGAGTCCCATAAGGTGACTTTCCATTATACATGCATAGGTTTTGCACTAAGAAAGAGAATTTTTTACATTTTAGAGAAATTCAGTCTTCCAAAGTATATTCATAAAGATTTTCAGACATTTTGCTCAACTAAACTGGGAAAACCAAATAAGATACTCTTCTTTAAATGTATGTTGTCCTTTAAAACAAAAAAAACGTAACCTTTCACAGTTAAATTAATAAAATGTTGTTTCATACAGAAAATTTTCTTAGGACAAGAAATTAATTTAACATCTTCCTTTTTAAGCAAAAGTACAATTTGTACTATTGTGTATGAAAAGTACCAGTTAGAGGAAACATACTGTAAGAAATTTGTTTTTGTCTTCGTAAAAAAAATTTAATCGGCACTTTATTCCAATAACTTAGTGCTCTTTGTGGAACACTTTTATTTTTTTAAAGATGCTAATCTTTCATTTTTTCCAGTATCTCTTGTGGAAAACAGCCATCATTGGACAAACACATCACTGTAATGTCAATATAATATAACTGACAAAAACACTGTTTGCCATGTCAAAAACTAGCAGGCTTTATCAGTGGATTAATCACTCTATATACTTACATACCTTTCAAAGTGGACCACACATGTGTAAATGCTCCTGAAAGTGTTTTTCCTTATTCCTTTAATATCTTTTAAGTTTTAAAATTGTCTTTTAAAATACATTGCACATGCCAGTAGAGACCATCTGGGTAAAAAGGTAACACAGATCCTCTTGGCAAGTTCCTTTTGCTGAAGCGTTTTACAGCATTATCTGCCAGAGCAGTCACCCATACTGGCACATAATGTGTAGAGCATTTGTTGACCTCTTCCTCGGTTGTTGAGTTTTAAAGATTAGACAATCTCTTTGCTTCACTGACACTTCTGACTAGCATGCTATGTGTAACAGGTGCAGCCCCACAAAGCAAGAGGAAACATATAAAAAAAAGCAACAATATTTTCCTGTCTTAACTGTGGAGGAGTTCTGCTTGTATTTACTTAAACATAACTTAGGATATGTTTATCAACATACATGATTTCTGTCTTATTTTCATAAAGAAAGATGGTGATGAACATTAACATATACTCATAATAATAGGGGTCACATAAGTGTCACATTATAGGATTTTCTAGATAACTCCTTTGCAGTATGTCTTCAGATTTTTCATCTGATTATTTTAGTGAAAAAAGGTTATACTGTTATATTTAGTTTTAATGAAGGGTTAAATCCTGGAAACATGATCTGCCATTTGTTGCTGGTTGACCTGTTGTACTCTACAGGGTAATTCTTACTTGATACCATTATTTTGTTGAACTATTGAGTTGAATAATTTAATACTGTATGTACTTATTTCCACTCTCCAAGAAATACACAAAAACCTATAAAGCATGTTATATGTGCAAAAATAAATAAATAATTTTGGATTTTTTAACACATTTGTTGATGGAATTAAAATCAACATTCTTTGACATTTCCATTGAAAATGATTCTCCTTTTGAAAATAACACACTTTGTCTCTTAAATATATATACATGAATATATATGACACACCCTCACCAGAATGATTGGGGAGAGCCAGGAAATGTTATGGACCCAGGAGTATCTGCTCGACACGCTGTATGCAAATCCTTGTATCACAATTCATACCTGAATTCTTTCAACCTCCAGGAAGGTTGCAGTCTGGAAAGCTTTCTCCCAAAGTGTCAATTCACACTCCAGTTCCACACTGAAGAACATGTCCTCTCCGCTTTCAGTCTGAAGACTGAAGCAGTTCTTTCGCTGGTCCAGAAGGTCACTGTCCTGAGAGAACTTGCAGTTATACCATCTGAGACACACGAACTTGTGCGTAAATTGCATGCCCAGTTCAATCACACTTCCAGAACGGAAGTGTCTAGAATGTCACCATTTTTATAATAAAGAATACAAAAAAATAATAATACATCGCCTTCCATGTACATCTACAGCAGGTATGCCATTGCTGTTTTTATGGAAATAGCCCTGCCTTGCTCCTCCTATTTGTAAAAACGTTATAGTACACATCAGAATGTTTAGCATTAGGAGGCTGACTTTTCCCTGTGGAGCTCTAAGCACAGGTTACTGCCTGAATGTGTATACAATACTGCAAAGAACACAAATGTGAAACAAACCAAACAAATGTGTCTGAGGAAGAAAAGACAGCTATAGATTGAATGAATAGAGAGTATAAACAATGTTAAATTGGGTTACAAGGATAAACACACAATATTGTTTATCTGAAATCTGGAAAAATCATCTGTGAGCTAATGATTAGAAGCTGAGTGGATTCATTGCGGTCACTCTCATTAAAGAAAACCTATAATGAAAATCATGATAACAAATGATTACTCCTCACACTGACCAAAGTACACTGATTCGTAGGCATAAACTACATTGGCTCACTGTTCAGTTTAGTAGCGTTATAGAATTAATTGTTTTCCCTACTACTGAACTATACAGTCTGTTACTCCTACCGACAGCCTTACAGAAGAGGAGGAGTAAATCTAGTCCTCAAGGCTTTGATGGTCTTCTGGTTTTCATAGTATCGTTGATCTTCAATGACTTAATTCAACTAATTGTTCTGAGAAGGAGTCATGTCACTTATTTTTAGCCCTTAATTACTTGCAAATTGAAAAATTGTTTGGAAAACTTGATAGCTTCAGCTCTTACAGACTAGAGCTACCAATCTTACACTGTAGACATACATGTTTAAAGTGGTTTAATTTCCAATACAGGGAACTGGGCCTTGGTATATAATGTACATATGGTAAGATAGACCTCAATAACCACCTCATTAAAAGGTGGGAGGTGGTGTGTCTTACAAATGAACAAAATAATTAACACACAAATAAATGACATGTAATTTTCTTAAATGGGTTTTTAGCTATTTAAAAGAATGAACTTTTAAAAAGCTAAAAAAAGCTTTTTGAAACTATTCTTCTTGCACTTTTCATATCCTTAGAATGATAATCATTTTTAAAACATTTCACTCCAGTGCAGTAAAATCTAAATGCAAACACTTTTATCACCTTAAATACAGTATTGGAAAATGCAGCACATGAAAATTGGCTACAGTTTGTTTACAGTTAGGGAAATTCACTCCAAGTTGCAAGAGAGAAAAAGAATGCCCCCAAAGCCATCTAGCTAATCCTTTTCAGTAAATATTTTATTTTTATTACACCTTTATTCAAATTATGATTGTAGAATAACTGAAAGGCACAAACAACTAATCGAACATATTTGAAAAAAAAAACAAAGAATATTGTATTAAACCCTAATATTAAAAACTGTTCATACCTTCAGAATCTTGCACATAATTTCATACACAGTGAAACTTTTCTCAGCCCTTGTCCAGTCCCATGTTGTGACCTGGAAAATTAAACAATTTAGTCTTCTTTATACAATTCTGCTGATATAACCAGAATACATTACAAAGTGCACTACATTATTGACTTGGCATTGTAACAACAGTTGGAGGTTTTACGATAATGGGTTTTTAGACCTCTAAACAGATAAAGGTTGTAAAACAGAAGGGAACTGAAGGGGATACAGAACTGTATGTTTTTCTCAGAAAACTGTAAAAAATACCCAGTTAACGTGTATGGCTCCAATTCTCTTAAGCATAACAAATGGACTTTTAAAAGAAGAACAGATGCATAATCATGTATCTATTTTATTAATGGATTTACTAAGAATAATAAAACAGCAGCATAACGCAAAAACTTTAATTTTGCTCTTATGTAAAATAAAATAAATTTATTTTAATTTTATCTGCTAGCTATCTTCTTCCATCTTATATTTTATACTATCATGACAATTAACAAGTTTGTGGGTTTTAAAGAAGTATGCTTTATTTTGCTAAATGTTAGAAGGTAAAAAAGCTATTAAATGTGATCCTTTGAAAGATTTAAGGCACAACGAACTTACTAGTGCACTCTGCATAATTAGAAAATACTAATAAATGCCACAATGATTTAAACTATACAAATCATGGCAAGTAGTTCAGCCCTTTTTTGTAGTTATCTAGATATTTTCTATTAAGGATTTAAAAGGTGTTTTAAATGGTTCGTTAATATGTCACACACCAGTCAATGAAATAACACTATTTTAATCACTAAAATAATTGTTTTTATAGGGATCCAGAATTATGGTTTGACTAACGTGTTCTAATACAATTTTGGTTATGATATTTAAAATAAACTGTACAATAAGCAAATGGAAACCAATAGTTTTAATTTTGTCAATTTAATGTGGTTCACTATCTTAAATGCTTGACAAACATGTTGTAGTACTATTATATTCAAATGAGATGAGCTCAGATAATACTAAATTATTTTGATGCACAGAAGGCAGACTCGAAGGTGTTCATCAGCATGAACACGTTTTTGTGTTTTGTTTCAAATGCTGCCACCATTAGTTTGATCATCAATAATGGCAAGTGTGGAAGTTTCAGAGATGGTTGTACATGCCAAAACTGTAACATAACGCAAGCCATGCTTTAGAATTTGCCATGAAGTACACAAATGCTATAGCTTCAAGTCGTTACAAAGTAATTACGAAGTTCAATACTATTACTAAGCTCAGGTATCTCAATTTTACCTCCTTCCAAAAATCCACAAAACCGACACTCCTGGACATCCCTGCTTCGCAGCATGCATCTGTCCCACAACTCACATCTCAGCCTTTCTTGATAGCCTTATGAGACCTCTGGTTGAAGGGCTTCCTTCATATATTAAGGACATTAAGCATGCTCTCCCAACTTTTTAACAGTTTCCAGTTTCAGGGCCCAGAATGTTCCATTTGTACCATAGACATCACATCCTTATACACCATCATTCTCCACAATGATACTCTCAGCCCTCAAGCACATGGTAGACAGATGCAAAGTGCTTGATCCACTTACCCCCACTCTTGTAATAATAATTAATAATAATTGCTTACACTTATATAGCGCTTTTCTGGACACTCCACTCAAAGCTATTTACAGGTAATTTACTCCACCACCACCAATGTGCATCATGTACCTAGATGATGCGACAGCAGCCGTAGTGCGCCAGAACGCTCACCACACATCAGCTATCAGAGCAGAGTAATGAAGCCAATTTATAGATGGAGATTATTAGGAAGCCATGATTGGTAAGGGCCAATGGGAAATTTGGCCAGGACGCCAGGATTACACCCCTACTCTTTTCGAGAAATGCCCTGGGATTTTTAATGACCACAGAGAGTCAGGACCTCAGTTTTATATCTCATCTGAAGGACGGCGCCTGCTTACAGTATAGTGTCCCCATCACTATACTGGGGCATTAGGACCCACATGGACTGCAGGGTGAACACCCCCTGCTGGCCCCACTAACACCTCTTCCAGCAGCAACCTTAGTTTTTCCCAGGAGGTCTCCCATCAAGATACTGACCAGGCTCACACCTGCTTAGCTTCAGTGGGTTGGCAGTGGTGAGTTGCAGAGTGATATGGCTGCTGGCAACATCTTGGGGAATTGGTCCTTACACTGAATGCCTTCTCATTCAATAATCTTTTTAATCAGTAGATAAGTGGAGTTGCCATAGGCACCAGGATGGGACCCAGCTATGCTAAGATTTTTGTCAGATGGGTAGAAGAATGCCTTTTCATTTCCTACACTGGCTTTGTCCCTGACACCAACAGGCGATGACTGTGTAGGTGCCACCACATGCACTAATGACCATCTGAAGCATTACCTGTATCACTTCACCAACTTCCACCTGTCCCTCAAGTATACAATTAACATATCTTTCACTCCACTTCAGTTTCTGGACATAGATCTATCCATTAACCTTCAACGACACTCTACGTCTGTCTATTACCACAGATTACAGATTACCCACAGATTCATACAGCTATCTCCTGTACAACTTCTTTTACACCACACATACTAAAAACTCTCGCCCTTTTTCACAGTTCCTCATATTCCAATGACTTTGCAGTGATGACATGGACGTCAATAACCAAGCCCCCAGAATGCAACATTTTTTATTAGCAGAGGATATACCACCCATATTACTGACAGGGCCCTCTCCTGAACCAAAAATAGCCCTAGGATCATCAACCCAATTAGGAACTCCCAGACTCCTTCCATTGGTGCTTCCCTACCTCCCTAACACCCTTTCTATCCCCAGGACCATTAATGACAACTTCCCTATCTCATAGGATGATCCCTCCACTGGTACTTCTTTTTCTTACCACCTAATCTGCATAAACTTCTTGTTCACTGCTGCGTTTACTGCCCACAGCAATCATCCACACCAGGCACATTCCCCAGCAACAGAACTGCATTACCTGTAAATACATATCCAATACCACGTACATTCAAGGCTCCTCTGAACAATTCCAGATCACTCAGATGACATCTTGTATTTCCAGCAACCTTATTTACTGTGTCTATTGTAGAAAATGCCCAGCTATTTATATTGGTGAGTCAGGAAGGAGACTGGGAGACTATTTCAGGGAACATGTCAGGACTGTGAGGATCAAATAGTTTCTCACTTCACCTCTAATGGCCTTTACCTCTCTGTGTTCTTACAAAGGGGTTTTGAAACTCCTTTTACAGAAAGACATCCAAAACCAAAATTATCCTGAAACTAGGATCACACCTTCTTCCTCTCAACAACAGACTCGTTTCCGCTCTATTCATTTGCAGGTTTTGACACCTCTCTTCACCTCTCTTGACTTCACTCCACCTGAGTGTCGACACTGTTTTTCTCCTGCTCCTGCCTCCTCTCCACAGTCGGCTTTTGTTCTCCCTTGCGTTATCAGCTGCCGGTTTTCCTCTCTCCCTCACACTTGAAGATGGCTCCACAGCCCAAATGTTTTGTCTTTTTTCTTTTAAGCATGGAATAAACCTTTTACTTGTTCTTTGGTATACTATTACTATTAATGATATATTAAATGTTAAGCACCACACAATTAATTCAGACCACCATCCTGGAAAAGTGTAAAGTATTAGCATAACGTGATTTAATGGTATAATTTAAGACTGATAAAATTATTAAAATGTAAGATTAACTGGTGAAAAGTGGAAAATCTTACATTCTGCCAGAATCTTTTTCCAAAAGAGTGTAATTTATTGAAACAACTGCCTCCATTCCTCCATTTTAGTAATACAGGACAAATACAACATTGCAGTAATCTGTTGCATATGTTAAATAATGTATGTAAAATAGTCATAAGTAACACAATATGCAAATCTGGTAACCACATTCGGGTTTCTAAAAAAAACACTAACTCTTGAGTTCAAAGATTAGAACATAAAGAAACCCGAATGAGCATATATAAAGCTCTAAACAAATAAGTATTTGTCGACTGAAAATTGATGGATTTTGGTAAATTCAAACAGCTGTACTTGAAATGCACATTAGCTAGTCAGCGTTACTTTTTTTAGTATTAAAGGAGATTCATATTTCATTAATATTAATAAAATAAATTACAAGAAAATTATGTATCCTATTTGAGGTCTAGTGTTGCAGACTGAGCTAAAAATTGAGTATCTTTAACAAAAAATTACATTATTTGAAGGGTGTCCACACTCACTGTTCTAAATTAAACTGAAAGGAAAATCACTCCTTTGAACCAATTTAATATGCATCCAGCAGATCATTATAAAGCAATTTTATTAAATGACCTGCATTGTTAGGAATAACAATTGTAAAATAAAACATGCATCACTAGGCAGTGCCTTCTTAAATGGTACTGTTATACATTTAAATTCTGTTGAATGTTGCTTCATGTTAATTATACCAAAACACATTTTCAGAGAATTTGTTTGTGTGTACTACAAGAATCTTCAGGAAACATTTTAAGAGAATAGTGAAAAGGATTTGAAAATCTTGTATAACCCCCTATATAGAACCTTGTATATGTATATGAATATAGTTTCATATATAGTTTCTATTTGAAGTTTTTGAATATTACACACAACTGGCACAACTAAGAAAGAATTTAATCAAGGCTGTTAAACTAGAATTCATTTTGAAACTTTAGTCCCTGCAGTTTTTAATCTGCCTTTATCCTGGTGGACAAAAGTGCAGGTAAACAGGAACTTACTGGAGGTGCTGAAAATTTGAAGAGCGAAGAGCCCCTCAGGGCAAGGAACTTTGGTGTGTACATTCGATCTTGCAGGGAGTCCTGTTCCCTTTCATCTACCCAGCCCATATAGATGATCTGTCAAGAAAAGGCACAGTATTGACACAGTACTTATTAATTAGGAAATATTGCTTAATAGAAACATACTTTTTAATTAAGGTCTAAAATCTCAATCAAGTAGTCGTTAACTTGAAAGCAGAAATTAAACTTTTTGTAGTTTTATTTTTTTCTACTGGTATTTTTACTACTGTGACATGCTGTGCTCAAGACAAGTGGTTGCTTTGTATAATGGTGAATTGATGTGAAGGATGGATCAGATGGAGGCATGCATATATAAGTATGTTCTTCTTAATGCTCATGTCTTGCTAAAACAAAATAATATAAGAAGGCATCTACTCAGGGGATTTAAAACTATGTCACTTCAATTTTAAACAAAGGCTGAGTGACTAGAATTCATTTGAACACTCATATGCTTTAAAAGTAAAGCATTACAATACTACATAACTGAACAAATTATTAATCTCTAATTCAATAAAATACAAAAGGAAACTTTATCAGAATAAATCTACCACTGCAAGTTAGGGTAGTCTACAGTACATGGCTCCAGACCTTGATCCAAATCATTAGTGATGGAGGGTAAGATCCCCTAGTTTACTCTGTAAATAACAAGATGTCAAACTGACTGGAATAGAAAGTGATCTGTGGAGGGTACATTATGATTTCTTGACTTTACATAGCCTACTTTACCACCACCAACAAAAAACTCATCATTTCAATCAAGCATAAAAGCACTTTATTCTTTTTGCCCCTCAGGGGTACATACTTCTTCTCATTTGTTAACAAAAAAAAGCTCTAAGCTGTCTCAGCAGGCTTGTTTTCTCTAAGTTGCCCCTATAATATATATATATATGGTAATCTAAGCAATGATCAATACCTGCAGCTGTAAAAAGGGTTCTTTGATTTATAGGTGGAAAATATTTTCGTCTTTGAACACACATGAACCTTAGAAATATATAATTCAGGGTGAGTATTCACAAGGTGTGAATACTGATTAAAATAAATGTATAGACTTCAGCATGTTCAAACATCTAATCTAATAAAGAACTTTCTAGTCATTAATGTTTTCAAAAACTGTTTTGATGTCAACAATCACATAAATTACTTGATTTAGGTATCACTAGAAAAAGCCATGGATCCATCTTTTTTTCTTTTTGCTTTTCAAGTGTAGAAATAACCTTGACTTTCATTACAGCATATACTGGTGCGTATTGTGGCATTGCCATTTCAGTTGTCAAAATCTCTAAATCACAGTTGTCATCATGCAGAACATTAAACAATATTCAATTAACAGTACATGGGCAACTTTGAGCCTTTTTGATTCATAGATACTTTCTATGGTGATTTATACCTTCATGTTAAAGAACATTGATTATGGAATACTATGTGATGCATGTTAATCGAAGTACCCAGTTGAACTTGTTTATGTGCTTTTTATTAAAAGTAAAGCAGTGAAGTCACAACAAATGCGAAGGATGATAATTTTCTTTGTAGGGCACTTTATATAAAATGACAATCCAATACAAACATTTATATATATATTAATCTTTCTCTTCATTATATGAAGATTTGTAACAATGACAACATTTTATATGTTGGTTAAAACTGCTAGGATAAGATACATGAATAAAGTGCTAGCATGTTTATGATGTTATATTCATTATACAAAAAAATCTGAAATAAATATCAATTTACATAATGAAAATATATTCCAAATATAACTCTGCCCCAACATCAATCAATCAGCCAAAATCAGTTTTAAATATAAACATCACTCCATGCTCTGCATCTTTTGGTGAAGTACAAAATTGCATGAAATCAAATTAAAAACAAGAAAAAGAAAAAGAAAACATAAGACTACAACAAACTTGCAGACAAATTTAATAATAAGCAACACTGCAAATAAGGCATTTTGATCAATACATGTGATAGTCAAGATACCTGTTGGTTTACTGGGAAGTTTCTGTTAATCTTCTTGATCTGCAATGAAGAGTGTAATCATATTTATTCATATAGGAATAAAGCATCAAGGGACAACCTATTTTCGGATTGAACCAGGCAATTTCATAATTTCCTCTGTTCACGGTTTTATTCTGTAGACGTAACACAGCAAAATGTAAAACACTGCTATTTATATAGTTGGGCAAACATAGTATGGTTACATTAAAAGGTCTTAAAGCAGTTACTTTATAAAAGTATCCAGTTATTTAACTGGATTTCAATTTTCAATTTCAATTTCAAATTGAAATTATCCAGTCTTAACAACTTTTTAATTGATGATTCCATGATACACACCAAAAAGATAACTTAAGAGGTCAATCCCAATGTGGAATTTTAGCTACAAATGTTACATATACCAAAAAATAGTTAATTCAGCACTACTATGCGTGAACTGCGTATCTAATGTAGGTATTAAGGAGACAGTAAATAACAATTACTCAATAGCAATAACACTAGTGGATGTGGAGTGAAATAACATTCTGTTTTTCTAGAATGTTTTTGAAGAAACGTCAAGATCCCCAGTGATTAAAAACTCTAGTTAAAAAATAAACAGCTTCAACCTGCAAACCTATAAGAAACTGGAGAAACAATTTGGATATAATATGTAAAAATGATTGCATCACTAAAAATGACATAGTAAGAAAAGTGGGAGTTTAGTATTTTAAGTGAAATGCAGGTAGATTGCAATATTTTGTTTTAATTGATGCTTGAAACAACTTCTACCTATTTAGCCACTGACAGTGCACTGTACTTACATTGTGCTTTGTGAGATTGGAAATATTAGCTGCTATTGCTTGAAGCCAGTCTAAGCAGTCTTCAGAAGTCAGACATTGAATTACCCCACTGCATACCCCATCCACAGCAATCACTTGAAATGCATTTTGCCTAAAGACATGTCACAGTGAATCAGGTCAGAAAGCAGCATAATCAAACACCAAACTTTTCTAATTAACTTAAATGGTAAAAAATGTAGTTAAGTATTTAATTAAATTTGTGCTCAGATTTGGTTTGGAAGAAATAATCAAGTTCTAAATATATACATATATGTTGAATGCAGTGTTGCTAAACTATTTTATTTTTTCTCCATAGAGCCACAAAATGATATAAAGAATAAGCTGCCATCACACAAGTTTTCTTCTTCAATTTTTAAAGCTTTTTTTTCAGCACATAATCAACAATAAAACAAGGACATGGTGTAAAAAATCTACAAACATTTATAATATTATTGCTGATGCCACTAGCAAATGCTCTGATATTGTGTTCCATTAACTCATGGGTATGTTCTGTGATTTGAATGAGTCATTTTTTAAGACATGTAAATCTTCATGACCCTTTTGGTAAACAGTTATTCAGAGCAGCCCTGAGCATAAACCATAATAGTTGTGCTGAGCCCCACTACAGTAAGCAAGGTTCACTTCTGGGTATCTCTATATCTTTTTGCTTCGGGGACATGATTTAGTCAGTCAACAATACTCACCTCTATTTATATTGATCTCTGTGTTAACCCGCAAAATTCGGTCAGGCTCTGTGTTATAGGATGGGAATTTTACCTGTAGCAGGCCACCTAGCAGTCATGTCAAACTATAATCTGTTATGAATACTATGGTCCTCACAAGAAGTAGTCTTCTGCAAAGGCTCCTGAGCTGGTCTCCTAGTGTACTGTCTTCTGTTAACTTCTCCATAATTTGTTATCAAGACTAAGAGACACCCTCTTCCTTTCAGCAACCTTCCAGCATTATGAAAGTGATATGCCTGTCCTAATCACTTTATGCTAATTCAGATACATTCTATATCACCATAAAAGGAGGGGAGATAAAAATCCCTATCATAAATTACTGTATATTGTCAATGCAGATTTTATTAACTGAATTGATGAACCAAGAATGCCAGGAAATGGAACATATAGTTGAAATTGACAAACACATTTATGCAAATATATAAGTATTTGAACCACAGTCCTAGAATAAATTGAAAATGTACCTCTCTGCCAAAAATCAATAGATACTAAAATGTATACAAAGGTGAAAGGTTTCTGCAAAAGTAATCTTTCAGGAAAGATGCGGCTCATTTGGTTACCTGCAAATGTCTGTGCCTGGAATATACTGTGAAAGGCGGGAATGGAGCAGGGGAATTAGACGCAGATCAACCCATCTCTTCTCCCACCTCAGTCCCGGGGACGTAGGCCAAGATGAGCAAGACAAAGTATCCTAAAATATATCAAGGACATTTATAACATATCAGGAGAAGTACTCTCATATAAAATATGCCAAAAAAAATTATTGACTACTCTTCTTTGGAGAAAAGTTAAACAATCGATTCTCTCACAGACTAACTGACTAAGAGCAAACTAAGCCACTGAGAACTTTGTTCATCTGTTTCCCAGCCATCAATTACATGGGTTTTAGAAAGATTCAGCAGTACACCACTGTAAACAACACGTGTTTCTTCTTTCTAAAATTCTTTCAAATGTATCCTGCCCTAGCATCTATTGTTTTAGCAGTTATAGGTATTTGTGTCACAGTCATAATTAAATAACATTGGATGCATAAAAAGATAGTATAGTAGCTTGTAGGAACTGATTTTAGCATCAATACTGTAATCTGTACCTCCTAAAATATTTTAAGTTTAAAAAACTGAGGTGTAATACTGTATATTCCTTAATAAAAAAAAACCAAATTGCCATTTGTGCACTCTATATCTAAAACTGAGTTTATCTAATAAGTTGAGTTTACAAAAGAGTTGTATTTTCATGCCATTTCAAGCAAAATAAGTACTTGGAATAAGTGATGAATAATCTTAGACCAATTTGCACCACTAAAACACCATTAGAAAGAATGCCATCCAAATGATTGTAAATTGTAACTAACTTAAAATATTTTATTTGCAAATAAATTTTAAAGTTTTTGTAATGCCAAGAAAGCAGCAATGCTCTTCAGTTAAAGACAGAAAATTCTGAAAAATCATGTATAAAATCATTTTCAGAATCATGGTTTTATAAACATTTCAAGGTACAGGTAACTTTTTTAAACCTTTGTGTTTTTAATTTACTTTTTTGTTTGGTTTCCATCCTAAATATGTCAAGTTTATTATCTTAAAAGTTCTTAAACTATTACCAAAACTGTACCTTGGTTCCTATCTTTTGCAAATTTTGATCTAATTTTGGTCATGTGACTTAATAAAACAAGTTACTTTAGACTAGATTAATAAAAAACAAAGGACAATAGAAAATAACAAAGTAACAAGAGATGTTTAGAAATAGGGACACAAGAATGTCACACAAGTCATGATAATTTCTGCATCTAAATTAAATCCTAAAATAAAACACGATGACCTTCTCTTTAATAGTATATTAAAGATAATACTTTATTCACTATGCAGGAGACACATCTCCAAGTGAGTTATAATTTGCTGGTGCGGGATGGCTTTTGTTTAATATTTTGTAAACCCATGGAAGGTCATATACAGTAGGTCCATTCAAATTTAATTTCTGAATCTTTTGAAAGATAAATGAAACCTGTACCGTATTGTTTGGATGATAGTTCAAATGCAATCCACTATCACATAAAGGGGATGATGTTCCACTACTCTGGTCACTGGGAACACCTGCAGGTGAACATGTTATATAATCAACTTTAAGTCAAATAATTGTATTAAAGATTTGCTCTTTGATCGCTCTTATAAATTGCATATTATTATATTTCATACTAGCATAAATACTTGCACATTTTATTTGTGATTTTATTTTTATTTTGGCCAGTTATAAATCCAGTTAATAAATTCAGCTTAAGCTTGTAAATTTCTGCTTTTCACATACCTAAACATGACATTAATTTAATGGTATTACAAATATTTCACATCAGTTAAGTTTTATTTTTTATAAGGTTGTACAGTATGAAATAGAAAGAATAGAAAGAATTAAAGGTGACACCAGATATAAAGATTGCACTTGCAAATACGAGTAATTCTTGATTAAATTATTCATATTAATTTAAATAAAGTTTAATATGAACAAGGATGCTAATGGATTTAACCTCAAAGGATATCTCAATAATAACTCAAATTAAACTCTTTTTGGGAGGATTTCCTTTAGTTAGAATAACATCCCCTCTGGCACACAGAAAGAAGCCTTCAAGTAATTGCATAATATGACGGGTGATTTGTAAAAGTTTAAATTTAATCCAGGCCCAGGTACGAGGACAGTAAGAAGTAGCATAAATATATGAGAAGTAATTTACAGCAACAGCAAAATCATTTAGAAATATAAAAATAAAACATACATGTGCAGTCTTCACAGAGAGGGAGTTTAAGAAAAGCTGGTGTCTTTTTCAGAAAAGAAACTGTCAGCGTTACTTCTTCTCCTGCATTTCTTAAAACTTGCACCTGAAATAAGCATACAGTAAGCATAAACATTGAATTACCATCATTTGAAAACTAGACAAATGCATTACGCATGTAATAATATTATTATTGTCTGATTGAGATCTTCCAGATTGTAAACAGGATCCCATGTGTACTCCTGAACTGGCCCATATCAAAACTATAAGTAAGCATTAGTTTCTGCTCATAACCTTTCCTGCCGCTGAGTAATAGGTTTACCTTGACTGTAGTCAGACACCAATTGACCCAGCACCTCCGCATACTGTATAAACACATCCCTTGATAATGTACTGTAATATGAATGTTTATGATCAAGGCCATATAATGTTTGGGGCAGGTAAATTATATTTTTACAGTGCTTTATGAAAATATACTATAAAGGAATACAAAAAGGCATATGTGTATTAAGGCTCAATAAGCTGCTTTAAACTAAGAGCTGTAATGTAATGAATAAAAAATAAAGCTATTAACTCACCACTTCTTCATGCCGGTAGTTTCTCACATTTATTCCATTTATCTGAAAGTCAAAATAAAGCTGTAATAGAGAGTAGGCAGTTTAAAAGTTAATTTATTCAAATATACCAAAATTTAGTGAAAGTTACCTGAAGGATTCCATCTCCAATGAACAGCAGACCAGATAGTTCAGCTTTAAAAATAAAATTCAAATCAGTTTAATTATATAAAAATAAACACAACGACAATAAAAACAACAAGATGAATGATTAATTCATTACTAATTCATTACTAACAACAACTAATTACAGTATGAATAATTCTTGTTAGGTGTAATTACAAAACAATAACAATTAGAAAAGATATACCTTTTTGTTCTTTGGAAATTTTTGATATTACAACAGGAATATTGTGTTCTGCACCACCCTAAAAGAAATATAATAAACAAACAACACGTGGATATTCCCGAAGCACAGAGATTGTGAAAAACAATGTATCTCCTTAAAAACTCACTTTTGATAGCTTTAAAAAAGACTTATAGTATACCTTAAAAAAGTACGTTTTGACACCTGATATCTAAAACAATGTCATTTACTATTGCAATTTGGTGAGTGTCAGGTGAATTTTAATGGCATCTGGGTCACCTTGCTATTATTCTCAGGACACAATTAAATACAACTGAGCCAGAATCTGCAATACACATCTGTAATTCCATATTTATGCTAGAATTTAGCTCTTTCATTCAAATTGTCTGGTTTATGGACAATAAATTACAAAACACAAATGCCCTTCTATTAGAACAGAACTGGTTATCTAAATCGAGTGAAAAAAACAGGTCATATTTCTTTTCAAAATATGAGATAGTAATCATTATTAAAGATTTAAATTAATTTTATAACTCTCCAATGTTAACAAAAACTGTATCTGAAAGATCCAGTGGCAGGGGCACAAGCTCTCATTTTTTCATTTCTATTGTCCAGGAGGTTTAATAGGTTTCTTGAAGTCTTCAACACCTTAAGATCTAGGGAGACTAAAGCAATGAACCCTCATTTATAATCAAAAGTAATAGTCCTAATAGGTCAAGTCTGCCCAATCCTAATTCAAGACATCCTGTTTCTTCTGATTCTCAATGATCTCAATGTCTCAGTGACTCCATAGGGCACATACTGTAGGTTAATAACATGCCAAGACCATTTTTTCAACTAGAAAATGTTGGGGGAAATAAAAAGCAAAACAAAGGGGGAACAACTGGGGGAAACACTAAACTGAACTGAAAAACCACAATAGGCTGTGAAATTAAATTCCATGATGTTTTCTTTTGGTATCCATTTAGGATTTTTAGTAGAAGAAATTGAGCAACCACCGAGTATAAGAAAAAAATACTAACGTGATAAGGAAACAAACATATTGAACTGGGTGCTGTAAAAGGAAAATTGCTTAACCATTTCAGATGTTAAAACATATTATTCTAATTGTATTAGTATTTATTAATAGAAGGAAACAGAAATTCTAAATTTGTGAGATGAAGTACATTTAAATAATAGCAAAAAAATGGTTAATCCAGAAATATATCTAATTATATCATACTGCCTATAATTGAGATTAAATATCTTAACTGATCAAAAGTAATAAAGCATAAATTAATTATAACATAACAGTGTCTTATTTAATGATAAACTAAGAGTAAATGTGATACATTATAATTCAGTAATACAGTAGGTCTAAAAAGTACATAAGGTATAAATCTGAATATAATCACAGGCAACCTGGAAATAAGAATAAGTAATGTGTGGAGGAAAATCTTGAATACATTTACCATCATGAACTTTAAGGTAAAACATGAATTTTAATGTTGCAATATTTGAATTTGCAAAGTTAAAATCATGTCTGCTGTTCAGCAGAAACAACAGAATCATATAAAATACTCATTGGGATATGTATCAGATCAGATCCAGGCAGACACTTGTCAAGTGAAGTTTGACATTTTTGAAATTGGATAAGTGCAAGATATTATTGACTCATTGCTTTTTTCATCTAGTCAGTGTAGTGAAGCAATAAAAAGGCCAATAAAGTTCATAGATATAGGGCTCCCAAGTGGTTCATTAAAGTTGCTGCTCACTGAAAGCAGTTCAAAGCGAGTTCAAGCCTGGGTCATGTCACTAGCTGAAGGTGATAGGAATTCCCTAGGAGGTAGAACACAATTTACTGTGTATGACTGGTTAGGTCGGGGTTTAAATGGTTTTCTGGCAAACAGAAAGTCAAGTGACTTGCTGGGTAACTTCCACCTCTTCTTTTATACCTCTCATCTGCAATGTATCAAATGGCAAATGGCTCTTCAGGTGGGTGTGTTGGAGGAGCATGTGTGTGTATCTTATTCACTCTAGATTGGATAACAGTTATTGCCAGAGACTCTTAATCTTGGCAGTTTCAAATTGAGTAATCATATTATAAAAATTGTGCGATATATTTGTTTGAATATTGTTTTCAGTTTTGCTTACCATGCCATGTGAAAGTTTTTGAAGTTCTACAGGTAATGCAAAGGAGAGCACCTAGACTACTTATTTATGGGAAGGAAATGTCATACTCCGATTAAGGGACCTGGAGACTTTTAGCTTCGAATGGAGATTATGTGGGGACTTGATTCATATATTAATTGTCTGAGTTTGTAGGCATTTGAGACTAACTGCTTAGCCCCATGGCAGAAAGGGACTCATTGGGATCCTTTAAGGGTTGTTACCAAGAAACACATAAAAAACAAATGACAAACTTAACAGTACATCCATATTAAAGGACAGCAACTTAAAGGAACAAAAATATAAATCTGTGAGCACAATTAGCCAGTTACAAGTATTCAATAAGTGGGAATGGATAATTAATTAAAAGTACTGGAAATATTGATTACAACCTACTGCTTATTCACTTGCATATGTTGAAAATCTATGATACAATTCTAATCAGTATTTATCTCTGGATGTGTGGCCTGTGACATGATTAAATGTTTTTAGTTTGGCCCCCTTTAAAAATGAGTTTGACACCCCTGATATAGAGCAAAAAATGAAGAGAATGTTGTTAATCACATTGACAGTTGAATTCTACAGTTTATTCCATGTGGTATGGTCAGATCGAAACACTGTATGTCAAACCAGTTGTGGACAGAGAGGAGTGGTCATTGGACCCTGACAACGAATGTTATTTGAAATGGCTACAAGCAAATACAAAGAATTACATATGGATCTGAAATCACAATAAATACACATCATTTTCATCTATCAAAACAAAACACAGGGTGTTTCATATGTGGTTGTCTTAAAATCTCACTTTGGCATTTTATCTGACAGCAATGGTTTGAAATGTGGTTTACTGTCACACATTGCACTGACAGATTTAATGTTTTCTAGTCATCTGTGTTCTACAAATCAGATTCAGCCCCTTGTAATAAGCCAGCAACCATATCACCCTGCAACTCACAACTGGTAACCCACTGAAGCTAGGCAGGTGTGAGCCTGGTCAGTACCTGGATGGGAGACCTCCTGGAAAAAACTAAGGTTGCTGCTGGAAGAGGTGTTAGTGGGGCCAAAACTGGAGTTGAAGCCCTGAATTCAGCTGAGCTTAATGAATGAAAAACTCAAAATTTTAAACTATTTTATAGACCTGTATTATACCTATATGCAGTATGTACTACATATGAATAGATTATATAAAGGTATAAGAACTGTAAATCTGAGACTATGTAATGTGATTAACTTCTTATTTGTTTTGTGAGTTACAGTACATTGCACGCATGTTAATGTTGACTCTCGGGAACAGTGTGCCAATTCAGTTCTAGGAACCTGTTTCCCATTCTGGAAACACTTGTGGTAACATACAATAAATTAATGAATCTCAAGCACCACTACAAATGTTTTGTGTGTGATTGTTTTCTGGCTTTCAAATACAGCTAAATAAATGTATGACGCACAGCTATCCTACCATTACACTTGCTATTCTATTTTGTTTGCAGCACCACATCTACAGAACCCACTATTCAAATCCATTAAAGACTCAACAACCACTGACATTTTTAAATCTTGCTTTTAGGTCTATGTTTTCACTGTAATTGTTAATGTGTTAATTTTTCTGTGATCATCATACAGTGATTTTGAGATTTAAGAAAAAATAGTCACTCTTACAAATTATTGTTATTATTATTTTTTAGCCTTCTATTCAACAGGTAGCTTATTGCTTCACTATTTATATATTTGTAAGCATTGACTGTATCTTTGACACTTAAGGCTGAAGAGTCTGGGAAAATACATTTATTTCTGACAGCACAGGTCAAAAGATGCATCACTTGTACTGTATATATAATGGCAGAGAAAAAAAGGTTTCACTTGTACTTGTCATGTACAATAGTTACTGTCTAGACTTTCCTGCACAGTACTTTATGCTGTGGGCTAATCAGGGCTTTATTTGGGAATAGGTTTAATTACAGTATTTTATATTTTATTTAAAGCTAAGATTGTCCATCTGCCAGGGTAAATGTGACACAAAGCTTTTCATTTAAATCTAGGACAACTACTAAGGCCTCCAATGTGATTTTCCTTTTTCATGGTGATAAATGCCATATGTCAGCCTATATAAGCTTGTGTACTCAATTAGGACTTAACTAGGAAACACATATAACAAGTATAGTATTGTAACGCTTACGGCCGACAAGCACTGTGTGTAAGAGCCGGCGTACCAGAGCGGGTGACGTCACCGCCCTTCCCTGTGATAGCAGGACCACAGCTACTGGGCTGTGGAGAGATCTCTCTTTAGCTCACGGGGCTAGGTCGCTGCAGAGAGACGTGGAAGTCCCGGGTTCGAGCCTCCAGTCTGGATGGGGCCGACCAGATGCGGCAAGGGCGCCTGCCTGAGCCCCCGTTGCTTTACATTGGTGTCAGAGTGGGGTGGGATAGCCCTTCGCCGGGGACAGCGATTTAAGCGGGGGAGAGTGTAACGCTTACGGCCGACAAGCACTGTGTGTAAGAGCCGGCGTACCAGAGCGGGTGACGTCACCGCCCTTCCCTGTGATTGCAGGACCACAGCTATTGGGCTGTAAAGAGATCAGTCTTTAGCTCATGGGGGTTGGGTCGCTGCAGGGAGACGCAGAAGTCCCGGGTTCGAGCCTCCAGTCGGGATGGGGCCGACCAGATGCGGCAAGGGCGCCCGCCTGAGCCCCCGTTGCGTTACAGTATATTTAAGATGACAGTTCACGAAGTAAAAATTATTTAAATGTTTTTGACTATGATGACCCAGTCACGAGTTGAAAGTTGACATTATGTCAACATTTTCTTCAGCATATTCAACCTTTTCATCAGTTGCTTCTGAACAGATTTTACGAGTGTTTCATGAACATGTGTTCAGTATTTAAGGCCAAACCCTAACTGAGAAGAAGTCAAGGCATGATATTTATTAGTTTGTTTTTTGTATTAATGCAACTATGGTGAAAGATTTTGCAAGCTTTAATCTTCAGGTGCATCATATTTCACATATTACACATTGAGTAAGAAATGTGCATGAAATGGTGTCACAGATTTTCATGGCAATAGAGGAAAATTCAGGATTTTTGGTTTTGCATGGTATTCCACTTATTATTACAGTATAAGGATGTTGTTAATATACCCTGTGTGTTTTGAAATAATTTGTAAATTTAATTATTTCTTATGTTTACAGTATATACTATGTATTAATTAAAACTCTAGAGTCACAGAATTGTTGAATATGTTTTCACAATATTTGGATTTGTCATTTTATTATTTTATACACTTTCATTGCGGAATGACCACTAAGATATAGCTTTTTGGAAATTACTTCTGCACCCATTTGAGGGAAATGAAATTCCTCCAATATTTTTGCCTTTCATAGTCTGGTTGTCCACACTAACACTGAGCAAACTGCAGTCACTCCCAAACTGCTGGATTTTCATCTTCTGCCAATTGATGTGCAGACCGAACTTGGCAGCTTCATCATGCATGTAACACAGTGACAGTGACAATCTCAGCACATCCAAAGTTCCTGCCAGTAGCACAATGTTGTCAGCAAAGTCCAGGTCAGTAAACACTTGATTGCCGAGGGTTGATCTAGCCATTCCCTGATGGACTGTGTACTTCATGATGCGGTCCATGGGTACCAAGAACAGGTCTGGAGCGATCATGCAGCCCTGTCTAACTCGCACCAGAAACCCGTCTGATCTCACGCCATCTGCTTGAATCCGTATACAGAGCTTCCATGAGGTTGACCACTTTACAAGGTAGTCCAATGTTTTGAATCGTCTGCCATAGAGCCGGGCGGTCAACTGAATCAAATGAGGCCTTAAGGTCAACATACACAACCCACAGTGGTTTGCCAAACTACTTTCTGCCCTGTATCAATGTGTTCAGCGTGGCCGGTTTGATGGAAACCATCTACATCACCCTTAGGCACACCGCCGTGCCTGCCAGCTTCCAGCCGGAAACTGCTTGAAGTCGCTCTCAGTGTCTTCAGTCACATCCCTAGGCTGGGAGTGCGTTTATTCGAAAGGCATTTCCTCCTTTCAGTCAGGTGCACCAAGCCTTGGTCCAGTTATTTAACCGCCCCCAGATACTGGGCGTTGGCTCCTCCTTTCTCAACCGGGCTTGCCACCGGCTATGGCGGAGTTCTGCCTTATTTAGGGTTTGCCCAACTTACTGGAAAGAGGACTGGATCCACTATGAGATGTTGCTCACACTCATGCTGCACTCTAGTCCTCTGTGAGGTTGTCTGACCAAGAAACACTGTTTCTCCTCACAGCTGAACTACTCATCTGGATTGTGGAGAATTTTGCAGCCTTGTGTTTCTGATTCAATTGAACTTGCATGTAAAAATGACCATGAAGGTGGAATGCAATAATTTGCTGATCTTTGTGAGGTTATGACACATAGTCTCCCACATTGTGGCCTCTTATTGATGAATTGTATCTGGGTGAAACATCTTGCTGGAAAACTGCTAGAAATTGCTGGCTATAAACAATACAGCAATTAGTCTATCATTTAACATACAAATGGCAAAAGGTCATTGTTTTCTGGATAAGTAGGGGATACTTGTTACTTTCTGTATTTTCTTGCTTGATTTTTAACAGGCTGGACATATAACTGTATAAATTACCTTATGAACTTTACCTATCCAACTGTCTCACTAATGAGGTGATGTAGTACATTTGCAACTGTGAAAGTGTTTTGAAAATATCACAGTCAAGCATGAATGAACAATTACTTATGAATTATTTATGAATTATAAATATTGCAAATAAGCAATATTCAAAATCTGTATGCATTTTCTTATAAAAGGCAACAATTACGTGCTAAATTTCTTTTGATCCTGAGTGTAAGAAAAATCATATCCCTGCCTAGCAAAGTTATTTTTTATTAGTGTTGACAGTTGACAAAGCCATCAGGAATATATAACACCCTTCTCTATAAACGCAAAATGTTGTCAAACAATAAGCTGCAAGCCATTACCATTTTTATGTAACTGTGCAGGGAGGTGTCATCATTTTTTATTCCATATTATTTTATTAAAACAGGCTTTTCAAAAGAGCAGGTTATCCTTCTCGACAACTGTTAATCACATTTTTATGTAATAATATACATATTTTAGTTAATCTGTCTCTGAATGGTATATTTACAATTCCTTTGTCATCAAATACAAAACACATAATGCAAGTGTTTTAGCAAGCTGTCAAAGAGGATTTCCAATGAAAGTTTGCATGTGTGGTTGTGGCCTAGCTTTTGGGGGATCAACTGCACTGTCACTGCCCTGCTAATATTGGATGAAATGTATGTTCCAAAATAGTGTTTATCTGGAGGCTGGAGGCTGCAGTCATGTATTGTAGCTCCAGTACTGTTGCCCCAGTCATGAAGTTATGGTTAAACTCTTTTTGGCTAAACAACGTTACAGCCAATTTGAAGTTTGGGATAGGTTTAAGGATAGGATTAGAATGAAATTTACAGTTAAAGTTACAGAAAGGCTGAGGTCACAGTTAAGAACAAGGGTTGGGAGATGAGAGAAAGCGTACTGTGTTTTGGTTAAGATGTCTTGTATACAGTATGTGGGGGATTGCTGAAACACTGTTTTATGGGACTATTACATAAAAATGGGAGATCCAAACTGGATACAATGTTTTTATTATTTAGATTCTTTATGTGTGGTCATAATATGTACTATGGGGCATTGTATCATAATCTGCCAGCATGTAGGAACTGCCCAAGCGTATCTACAGAACTGCAGCTATTCTATTAGCACTACAAAGCTGTGAGGTGGTACCATAGAATCACAGACAGTAGCATGTAATCTGATCCAGGACTGCACTATTCTGTAAAAATGCCAGGTGGTGCAGTGAATCCTTAAAGGACCGTAGCTCTGTATATTTGTCAGAAAAGTAGTACTGTACTAACTGTAATAACTACAATTAACACATTACCACATTATTATATTAAACATTAATAAACAATTCATTTTTTGTAATATCATCTCATAAAAAAGAATAATGTATACTATTAAATTGATAAATAGAAAGGATTCATTTGATTGAAATGTTGTTTTATATGTTTCTAAACAGACAAAATATAATGCAGCAAACTTATAAAGAAACCATGCTTTCACGTTTATAAATATAATAAAGCATTACCTTCTACCGTTCTCTATTTCAACACAAAGTAAGGTAAGAAAACATTGTTTTGTTTTATTATAACCAAATAATAATGCTTATCTTTTTATAAAAACAAAATACTGAATTGATACTAACATTCTAAACAACCTATAAATGTTGTGTGATTGAGAAATATTTAACATGGGCAATTAAGATTCTGTGAAAATTGTACTGTTTTATATTCAAAATGTAGCTACTCTTACTTTGCATGTCCTTAGGTCCTTGTCTCACTGTTGAACTTGAAGAAGTCCTTCAAGATGAGTGAAGGATGGTGTCAGTACCTTTCTGGACTCTAAACACTTGATTAAAATTCCTTTGTAATATCTTCAAATCAAGACTATATTAGTTCACTGCACTAATCTAGGCTTGCCATTCCTTTTCTTTCAAAGGCATTAATATTCTTTCTGTTACAAAGTGACCAACCCTGAACACACCCTGCTCTGATTTATTTCTTACTTATTGTATACAGTACTTTTAACATTAATTTTAGTTTTTACTTTTCTAAGTTTAAATCTAACAATGACCCTTAGTGTTTTGATTATTCATCATAAATGAATGTGTTGTTATTTTAAGTGCCCCCTTGTTTCAGATAGAAGACAATTACAATTAAACACACACAAACGCACTTTAGCATTTTTATAATAACTTTTTAATACTTAATATTATTGACACTAGAGCAGTTTAGTATCTAGAAATTTAGTATCTAGAAATCTTCAGGGTTAATGTGAAGTGTGTTTTTCAGATCTTGATGAAAGATTGGTAATAGATTAATCCCAACTCTAATGTCATATATTTCTTGTGTACATATGTTTATCCATTCTACAGCTCTCAAGATACATAGATTAAAACATTGACAAGCTGACCTAATTTAAATATCATAAATTGTATTTAAAATCACTTTAATAAGCCACTGCAAAGGTCAGTTTTTTTAACTTTTTTTTTTCAAAGCAAGAGGTAGATGTTAACATAATGAGATGATAAGAAAGTATATGTAATCTTACATAGTTAAAACCTAAAATATTTTTATAACACACTGAACCAATTTGACCAAACTATCACTCAGTGTATACTGTAATAAGTGAATGTTGAAACCGCACTTTGAACAAAACAAAAATTAAAAATGCACAACTAAACTATCAGTCAGAACCTTGAAATGGTAAGATATAATATTCTGTGATACTTAAGGGGAAAAAATTGTTTACCTTGATACTTAGACCAAATCCTCCAATTGTTTGTCTCCTGATTGTCACAGTTCTTTCCTGCAACAAAGTAATGAAAGGGAAGTGACTGAATACATTTTAAATGATTTCATCTCCTACACAAATCAAAAGAAGGCTGAAATTAAAAAAATAAATGTAACTGAATCTCTTACATTTACTATTTTTAATGAATCTTGAAAAATCAATTTGTATCAATGACAATTATGCAGTAGATAAACAGAAGCTAAATTAGAAAATGTAGTACAACGTAGTACAAACAGTTTTGGTTATATAGTATTTTATCTATATATTCTGAATGATTAGAAAAAAGGAATATATCATTTTATCAATTAATACATGTTGATAAATTTGTCTTCATATTAACCCCATTTCATTGTATGATTATGAAGAATGCTGTAAAAAATATATTTTAGAAAAAGGTAATTTAGCTTATTAAACAATTTTGAATCAGGGATATCATCAAGACGAGATGTTTTTTCACAGTCTTTGTAAATCATCTCCTGCTAATGATTCAGGGAAGTTACGTATTTTGGCTATTAAAGTTAACAATTAGTTTAATCAGGTAATTAAAGTCTTTGCTGAAAATAGATACTCTCACATTTAAGAACTGGATGTGAACAGTACTAAGCACAAAAGCAGCATAAGCAAACAGCTCTGTGAAAAGTTTAAATCAGGATAAAAGTCAACGTAAATAATATTTAAAACATCTTCCTGAAATATCAGTTTTATCTTTGTTTCTTAGTGCTATAACTTTATTATAGACATGTTTTTTTTAGGTAAGGAGTACCACATTTCTAAAAATATTCAGGCATACCTAAGAAGGACGTTCCTGTGAAGGATGCTTTATGTACCTATTTACAGATGTCTACGCTTGAAAAATTATTTTTTCGTAGAACAGTTGTCTTGCCTCATGAAGAACTGACTTCCCTCTAAAAAATAAATATATCTTCCTGTAAGCTTCACTGAGTCTTGGAGTATCTCTGTACTGCAATTTAAAAACTTGGACTGTGAGATGCCTGCAAATGGAGGTGTAGTAGTTTGAAAAACAGCCAGAGGCAAAATAGTGTAATGAGCACAGGGGTGTCCCAAGCCCAGGTGCTAAATGAATCCTGACTATGAATGGTTCCACAACATAGATTTGTTTATATAATGTGCATTTTTATGTTCTGAAGGAATTGCTTCCAATACATAATTTGTTTTCTGGGAAATTAACACCCAAAAGGAGGATTTTAGAAAAGACCACTTTCAAGATTCCTTCTATTTGTTCATAAAATTGTTTTTAACAGCTTATTTTAATAGGATTTGTACCCCTTTAATTTTTGTTTTTATGTGTAGTGATGGCAATGTGTTCTAGAATGTCCATAAGTATGCATTGTTATGGGATAGTTCGGCCAGTAGTTGGTCAGTTACAGGAATGAGCCAATCACCTTTCTGATGGAGGATGGGTGTCTGGATGGGCCACTGTCATTTTTTTCTGACAGAACTTCCATTATACTTATGAATTTCAAGTGACTACATTTTCAGTTTAAACCACTCTCTCATCTTAAAGGTGTGATAAAAAATTATAGAAATGAATTCAATAAAATGTAATTAGTAAATGAAAGAAACCTTTGAAGCTAAACATAGCACATTCACAGTTATGCATGTGTATTGTTTCAAATTCTGAAAAATGTATATTTTCGTTGTTATGCTTAAATATATGTATGCAAACCAACTGTGGCAGATATGTACTGCAACTTGAATGATGTATCATATTTAGATTAAAAATATAATTGTATTCAATAATATAATACTTTCTTGAAAAATACAGACTTTTTTAAATTTTATATGTTTATTCTCACAGAAATAAATATGAAAACATATTGCACACAATCATAAATTGCAGAAGTCAATTTAGGAAAAAGTTCAGGTGTGTGTTTACATGTTTCAAAATTAATGAATCAAAATGTCATGCCAATGTATGAAAAAAGAGCACTGGATATATTAAAAGTAAAGCAGTAAAACTAAACTTGATTTTAAATTAAATTTACAACAGGATAACAATCAAAACCAGGGATCAAGTTCAATAATAAAAATGTATTGAATATCACAGTCTCTTACAGAACACTCACTATAAGCAGAGAAAGGTCACTGTTACGACCCCAAGTGCCTAGAGGTATCGGGGTGTAACATCTAGGATAATTCTTTTGGAAGCAGGTGGGTTTTGGTGAGGGACTAGGAAGCGTGATAAGGGTAAGGAACTAGAGGGGTGCCAAAGAAAAGAAAATAACAAACAAAATGGTGCTGGCTAGGTAAGTGAGGGAAAGCTAACTTGACTGCAAAAGAAAACCCGAAACACACAGTCTTTGGCGTCTTCAACACCCTAACTAACCTGCACTGACTACCCAAAACCATACAAGACAAATGGCATTCACCCGTACTAATACACAATCAACTAAGTGTGTGAAGTGTACCCAACAACCTAAACTAACCTTATATACAAAAGTTCACACAAAAACACAAGTGAACCAGGAATACAAATAAGGGAAAACAAGAGTAATCAACAGGAGCAGGGTACAAAAGAACACAAAGGGTGAACATGTACTGTAGCACATTAGGGCAAGGTAATGGCAAAACAAGGATAAACACACAAACAAACGAAAGTACAAAGATACTAACAGAAAACCAACAAAACAACAAAGCCGAAGCTATATGAAAATACACACACAAAAAGCAAAACAACAAACCAACAAAGCCGAAGCAATATCCGAAAGCAAAGCGAAGCGATAACCAAAACCAAACGGGAACGAAGTCAAGCGAAAGGCCTCTTCCTTCTGAAAGCCTCCATGTTATATGCTGCTTGATGATGACATCATACGGAAAGTGTGGTGTAATGGTGGGCCAATGGGGAAGGGAGAACAATCAAGGGTCAGCAGTGTGGACATAACAGAAAAAAACACACACAGAACACACACTGGGACGTAACACTCACACAACTGAGTTTTGTATGTATGATTGGTTAAATATCCTTCATGAGTAGTTTATGAACTTACCAATAGACTAGAGGATGTATCAAGGTTACCAAAGCCCAAGGTGGATTCATAAACTAGAATGCTGGATATAAACACTTTTGAACATAATGCAGTCAGAAACACAAAAAACTGTTTTTACAGAGGCTCTATGCATCATTTAACATTGAAATTTATGAAGTGTTTAGTTTTGATTTGTTTCTATCCAAGCCTACCAAATGGACACTTGGCTTTTCAAGCAAAATCAAGTTTTAAATTCAGGATTTCCGAAGCATAAACTCCAGCAAAACATCCAGTCAGGTTTAACCCTAAAGCTATAAAAGACTTTATGCTGTCCTGTTTACAATAGTATATGTGATTGATTTATGTGCTAAAAACAAATTACATTTTTACAATAAAAACAAGGTAGGATCAGTGAAATCTCAATTTTGATTTAATACCAAAAACTAGCAGGCTGTTTTAAACATATATATATATACAGTATACTCTATATAGTGTCTTGGTATGTCTGTAGCTTTGTAGTCTACATTATGGTAAGCTTGCGCCATGCATACGATGCCTTGGAAAGTAATTCTTGCAGAAAATTCACATTTGAACATATAGTATGTAATACAGTTATACGTGTTACTGTTAATTGATACTGCAATTAATATTTGTTATATTCAAAACATACTCTACACATTCAATGCAAAAACATAAAAAGAAGTAAATACAGTATTTAATATGAACATGATTACATAAGTGTTCAAATCCATCACTCTGATAAATCTAAATTAGTTTAGGTGCATACAATTACTTTAACAGATCATGAAATTAGTTGAGCAGCCTTTGTCCACACTAATAATGATTTACATGATTTCAGAATATATAACTTTAAGGTCCCTCAAACAGGTAGTGAATTTCAAGCAAAGATTCAACCATGAAGACCAATGAGCCTTCAAAACAAATCAAGGAAAAAGTTGTATAAGGTACGGATAAGGAGAAGGGAACAAAAACATGTCAAAGGCCCTTAATATCTCTTTGAGCATAGTGTAGTCTGTCATTAAAATGAAGAAAACACCCAAACATTGGTGGATCAGACTGTCCTTCCAACCTGAGCAGCTGGGCATGGAGCAAATTGATTAGGGGTCTACTGAGGCCAATGACGACTTTGGGTTGCAGAAGTCGTAAAGGGGGCTGGTATGGAACTTGAAAAAACACTCTCAAATGTCATATCCCACATGGGGTTTGCAACATAGCACCTACAGTATGTGATGCTGCAAGTGTGTGGAAAAAGGCTTTTATCAATATTAATGCAAAGTGTTACATCTTATATTTAAATAAATGTATATGCATCCTTTTGTAACTGCACAAAATGGGACACCATAGGAATGGTCTCAAAAGAATTTGCGAGTGACCATACACATATATATATATAAAAGCAACAAATAATAGGTTTATTCCATGCTGAAAAGAGAAGAAAAAAAACACAACATTTCGGCTGTGGAGCCTTCTTCAGGTGTCAGCTGAAAAAAGGCTTCTCTATTCCGCATGGGATAAACTTATTACTTGTTCCTTTGCAGCCTATGCATGCTGACGCAGCTGCCCACCTGAACAACTATATATATAAATATGTAATTATCTAAATTTAGTTAACACATTGTTTTTATCTGTCCTTTGTAACGCCAGTAACAGCAGTTATAAGGCCACTGTTGGTTGATCCTGTTTGGCCAGGTCGTCTCTACCACAAACAAAACCTTACTGGTGGACCTGATATGGTAACAACTAACTTTGCTACTACTTTTCTAGAAATCTAGCACCTAACCTGACAGCAATAGGATGGCTTCCCTTTGAAAGATGCTTTCTCTTTTAACCTTATAAAAGACATGAGCTCCTAACTGTACTGAGCTCAATCTGAAGAGAGCTAGTCTTCCCTTATTTGACCCTGCCTAATCAACCATCCCTATGCTAGCCCGCAGCAGCCATATCACTCTGCAATTCACAACTGGCAACTCACTCAAGCTAAGCAGGTGTGAGCCTGGTCAGTACCTGGATGGGTTACCTCCTGGGAAACACTAAGGTTGCTGCTGGAAGAGATGTTAGTTGGGCCAGCATTGGGTGCTCATCCTGTGGTCCATGTGGGTCCTAATGCCCCATTATAGTGATGGGGACACTAAACTGTAAACAGGCGCCGTCCTTCGGATGAGACGTAAAACCGAGGTCCTGACTCTCTGTGGTCATTAAAAATCCCAGGGCATTTCTCGAAAAGAGTAGGGGTGTAACCCCAGCGTCCTGGCCAAAATTCCCATTGGCCCTTACCAATCATGTGCTTCTTATAATCCCCATCTATGAATTGGCTTCATTACTCTGCTCTCCTCCCCACTGATAGCTGGTGTGTTCTGGTGCACTTTGGCTGCCGTCGCATCATCCAGGTGGGGCTACACATTGGTGGTGATGGAGGGGAGTCCCCATTACCTGTAAAGCACTTTGAGTGGAGTGTCCAGAAAAGCACTATATAGTAGTGTTATATATATAGTATATATACTATAAGTGTAAGCAATTATTATTATTATTATTATTATTATTATTATTATTAATCAGAGCTCACCAGCTCCAAAAGACAACTCCATGAGTCACCTGTTTTTGAATGAACCTAAAAGAACTCATTCTCCTAACCATCAGAAGGAAAGCTAGTTATTGTCCTCACCTAGACTGTTGTTATTGTCAAGTGTTCTCTTTTCACCCCCTAGCCTTTCCTTTTTAAGGTGAATTCAATAAGCTACATCTGAAGCAAATTGCTTTACTGTCTGCCCTTAACTTGCTTTCATGGGAAAGGTGTCCATTCACAACTCACTCACACACATTTTTCTGAAGTTCCTAATAAGCTTATTATGCTGGATTCTCTGCAATACTTTTTTTTTTCTTTAGGTGTGTGTGCTGTCTGGCCTTTACATGACAATTGTGTGCTTTCAATTCACATGTTTTCCCAATACTCTATTCTCTACACTGTTTATTGAAATATTTTATTTCCTTGGCTTGAAAATGAAAATGTGTTTATCCTGCACTCTCAAATATTTTCCTCATCCTTCTAACCTTTATCGAGGCACCCCCTTCACAGCTCTCGCTAACCTGTTACTATGTACAGTATACCTGTGCATATAAAATCATTGTCAGCCAATAGTTCTAAAATAAAATTATGAACATAACACTTTTGCTGATTCTGCAAACCACAAAGTGCCAGCTGGTTCTTAAAACCTAAAGTCTTAAACAAACTGTTAACAGTAAAGTCAAATGCCATAATCTTTATCTGCTTTAGAGCATACGTTTTCTTTATAGCCAGATAGTGATTAAAACTATTTGGAAATTCTGCCTGAAAAACAAGTCAATTTAAGTTGACATATGGCAGCTAATTTGACTTTAAGAAAGGCTTTTATTTTTTCTCAGTTAGAACCAATTTAAATTAACTTTCTACTTCAATTTTAACTGAAAACAGCTGGAGTAAGAATTTTAATCCTATTAAGTTGATTTTCCATTGGGAGTGCTAAAAATCTTTAAAAGCTTAAGGCTGCCATTCATGTAGCTTGGCATTTTTCAGAGATGGTGTTAAACTTAATGACCTGCCTTTATATTATTTGGGGTTATAAAATGATTCTATTTTTACACAGATTGCACTTTATGAGAAGTACTAAATGTTAAAACTTCATCTTACATCTTTGTATTTTATAACCAGAGCCTTTTTCTATGAAGTAGTATTCTAGTTGTAGAGTCTAAAGCAGTGTGTGAAAGTGTGTCCCCATCTATGAATAGGCTTCATTACTCTGCTCTCCTCCCTACTGATAGCTGATGTGTGGTGAGCGTTGTGGCGCACTATGGCTGCCGTCGCACCATCCAGGTGGATGCTGCACATTGGTGGTGGTGGAGGGGAGTCCCCATTACCTGTAAAGCGCTTTAAGTGGAGTGTCCAGAAAAGTGCTATATTTATGTAAGCAATTATTATTATTATTATTATTATTATTATTATTATTATTATTACTATTATTATTATTAAAGGTTTCATTCTAAATTTGGTTATGCTTTTCAGAGCAAATGGAAGGGTATAATAAATGTTTTCAAAAATACTGTTGTGTTATGTATTGAAATGTTTGTGTGGGTTTTAAATACATATGCAAGAGTCTTTCTCCTAGCACATGAGATTTTAGCTAACCCAAGAGATTAACTTGGAAATGTATGGATTACAAAAACCCTTAGAGAATAACTTAATGCAGAACAGATATCAAAACTTTGCTGAAGTGTAGTTAATACTATCTGATATTAGGGTATGGGTGCTCATTTCTTGCTAACAAATTAGTCTGCATGCAACCCCTACTTAGAACATGTCTGAATAATGGGAGATTTGTTATTCCTTGTGACTCCTCAAAGGTCAGAAGAACTCTCAAGAAGTGATAAGAGTTGCACAGACATGGCCATTGTCACGGATGTCCAAAGGGACTAACCGTGGGGAGCAGGAGAGCGGAAAAAGACCCATATGCGAAGCGGCGAGACGGGAAAAAGGCCCGGGCTCATAAGTGCAAAGACTTCAGGAATGCCGTATAGAAACCTATGCCCTCAGGGAGCGGACGTGGGGAGCCCTGGTGCTAGGCGGGCCTCAGGACATCCAAACGTCAATGCTGAGCGAGGACAGAGTGCAAGACCCGGAAATATATAGCCCAAGGGAAAGAGAGGAACCGGAAGGACAACAGGCAGGAAACTAGGGACAGGACAGAGCAGGAGCGCCCTCTGGCTACAGAGGGTGTGACAGCCATAAAACCAAAACCTAGTGGCTAAATGAGATACAACCCCTTCACATTGCTTGTATGTTGGTATATGTGAACCTTTTAAACATTATTACATCACAAAGATGATAAATGAATTTATCTGATAGTTTCAGTGATTCATTCATCACATTTATAGCTATGACAGGTTAGAAGAATTATGGATAAAAAATGCCACAGAGTGCATGGAATAAACCTATTACATGTCCCCTTTCAGACTATGCATGCTAACGCAGCTACTCACCTGAACTGATGTTTTATTTATATGACAGTTATTACCTGTTGATATTTTTCATTCAGCAGTATAAATCCAGAGTCACTGCATAGCCGGCCAATTGCAAAATATTAACACACTAAGCATGTGTGGTCTATACTCAATTTAATTTTGCAAAAGAATCCTATTAAGTCTAGGACAAACCACTAGTCTAGGACAACTTCAAACACATAACTGTAATGTGCCAGAAATGGACTGAAATCATGCTGACCAAGCATTCTGTCAGTGTTGTGTATGGTTTTGGAATAAGTACAAATAGACCAGGGTTCTTATCTTAAATCAGTATCTTCTCGTTTCTGATGTGTCTGATCTATTTAAATAATTTAAAGAAGAAAATGCTACTTACACTTGAATAAAAAGGTTCACCAGACACGCAGATAACATCCTGTTCTTGAATAGTCAGAATGTCTTTGGCTAAGTGCAATCGAACATTGAAAGGTTCCTGATTACCATCCTGCAGCAAGTAAATCCCAGTCTTTGTCTGAAAGAGAAATTAAAAATATATATATATATTTTATGTATACAATGGAAATACACATGAATGTCTTAAAGGATTTAGTGTCTGTTAGACCATGTATGTAATAATGTATAAATGCATGTGTGATTGGTTCATCTTCACATTGAGATGATGGAGCAATGTAAGCAGCAGTTTAAAATAAATCATAATAATATTATGATAATGTAGTGTTTCTGAGGAGTTCTTAAAGACTCAAACTATGTGTTGCATTTATATATATTTATGTTAAAGTTTATGTAGTTTAAACTGATTTATGTCAAAATTCAGTTTTACTTTTCTTTGGGGGTGTTTTTATAATAAGATCTATTAATTAACAAGAAAAAGAGAGAATGCTGAAACAAAACCCGATATTCTAAATTAACTTCAAGACATACAGTATAAATTTCACCTCAAAGCAGAAAAATTACCATCTAAGAATTTTACGTATAAACATTTTTAATTTTTAAAAAATGATTTTGTAGTTATGCTGGTGATACTTTGTGTTTTTTTGATCGCATATTCACATAACCAACTGTAACATTCGGCAGAAAATTCCACTGAAAGCTGGATGTTGCTGTGGTTACAGTTCTCTATTCATCACACAATGGCTTCTTTCAATGAATGTTTAACTGGCTTATTTATCCCTTGAAAACAAAATGAGTGTAGAAAAAGCATATGTTAAAGAAGAGCACTAATACCAGTTTCCACAAGGCTACCTGTATATTTGTATCCTAAATAATCTTCACTAGCCTTGTCTCTGGGAAGAAATATAAAGTCATAGAGACTTTAGGAGAAGATCAAACGGTTTAAATATTTACATTTACAATTATTTAGATTCTAAGGATGAGTAATGAAATGTACTGATGTCTAGTGCATTGCTGCAAAGTAATTTGAATAATTTCAGTTTCTTTGAATGGTGAACATATGGCACAATATTAATGTTTTGTTTTATGAGGTTCACGCCGGCAGAGAGTATATGTAAGCAGTTAAGATTTATTTGCACTTCTTTAAATCTACTTCACTATATGGAAATATAGATTTGAGGGGACTATACATAAAATAATTCAGTACAAAATGCCTCCTCCATTACCATGGATCTGTACCTGATTTAAATTATAATATCAAACTGAAGATTAAGCAAAAAGAATGCTAACATATGACATATGTAAAAAGAAACTAAAGAATAAAAGATCCATCTAAATCATCACATTTTAGAGTAAGCTGCAAATATTAGTACTCCAGCTTTCATTACTTCATGAAAGCTTAGTCAAGAGCTGCAGATCTATGCCCCCTCATTCATACTGAAATGAACAAAGTCATTTTTAGAATGTTAGGACAATAACAATTATGAAGGTTGCATTGAAGTTGCCTGGGTGCAATTTAACATAGCAGATGGAGAAACCTTGCATACAGAAAGATAATAAAGCTTTATGTTTGGAACACATTACCCATCCATATTTTATGTTGAATCTGTAAACTGTTTTACTGACAAATAACAAGTATTTGAAAAGAATATGAAACCAATTAATTATTGTGACATACACAATATTTAAAACAGATTGCACATGGTGAATTTTAGTTAAAAACCCAGTCAATTAATATGAATCGCAGTGTAGGTCTACATATTAAACATTGGTTCACACTGCTTTTTCTGTATGTTCGTAATGTTGTAACTTAAGTTCTCTTTCACTTTAAAGTTCGATCCATATTTTTTTATCACAAATTTAGATTTTTTTCCCAAGTGCAATCCAAATTGTTAAATTCTGAACAGTTACATCTCATTCTCACGAATACCATAATATTTAGTTGAGAAGTTGTTTTTTTTTCAGGTACCTTTAGTGACCAGATACTAGATGCTAGTAGACATGGTGGATGAGTGCCATCAAGTGGGTACCAACTCATGGCAATCCCATGGACAGTTCCATTGTCACTATCCATAGTTTTCATGGCAAGATACGGAAGTAGATTGCCAGGCCTGTGTCCCACGCAGATAGTGTGAGTGTTGTTGCCGCCAACACTTCCCCATACTGCTGCAGCCCAGGATGGGTTATTAGAGAACCTTGCACCTGACATGGCACACGAACCCACTACCCTGAGATTATGAGTCTTATGCTCTACCAACAGAGCTAGTCGGGGTCACTAGTGGATATATTATCTAGTATAATATTCATCTTTTTTTTCCTGTCTATTCCAGCTCTAAGTCTTTCCTGAAAATTGAGGTAATCATTTATTGTGCACCTACCAAGACACTGATATCAAACACAACAATAATAATACATATTTATTCTGAATTTCTATGACATGATAACAATTTTTCACAAGAATTTAAAAGAAGTGATCAAAAATAAATTAAGAATGTGTATTGGTAAAGCTGATAAGTTGATACTTTATATAGAAATTATTGTTATTACTTTAAATACCTCTATTTAATAAATATTTGTTTTTTACCTATAATTTCATAATCATTTTAGGTCACAGCAATTTCCAGGTCATGTGAACAGTTTATTTTGGCATTCAGCCAGTATTTTGTTTGCTGAAATGGTGAACCGAGTGCATCTGTATAAAATATAAAATATAATTTAATCCACCTAGGTAATATCACAGCAACATCCTCTCCTTTGCTTTCCTGCAGTGTCCTAGCAAAAATCAATGCAATATTTAGAATTTTTGACCTTTAAAACATCTATTAAATCTAAAAAATGTGATGTTTCATTGCAGAACTATTTTTAGAATTTTATTGGAAGTCTCCAATATTTTTTATGTAAAGCACGTATTTTGTAACATTTACAAATAAGTGGGCTACATTTTTATATGTCATAGAAGGTGTTGTTTTAAGGTCCTTAGAACTAAATGACATCCCTTCAGCAGTTAAAAAGACAATTGCAGAAATAACTCAGTAACATTCATGAATAAAACCAATATAAACCATTTCAAATAATGTGTTGCTGCTAGTTGTAGAATAAGAAGGTTAATTTAATAACATATTGAGAGAATTTTCTTCCTACATATTTTGGCATACTAAATGGAACCTGAATAATTGAAATGAAATACAGTATAGAGGGAAAAATAATGTCTGATGTTTTTTTCTAGAACTAATGGCTGGAGATTCATTAGTAAATTCAAATTAAATAGTACAGTATTAATGTGAGGTAGAATTTAAAGCTAATACAGAATGCTCCATTCTAGATGAAGACATCATTTGATGTAATATTTCCTTTTTTCATCCTTAACCAAAACACTTAGGTATAAGACCTGTGGTGCTATCTTCATATATATAGTAAAATGTATCAGAAAAGCTATGTAATTGCACAAAGCTCGACACAAGGGCAGCAAGAAATGAGGAATTATCTAGTATCCAGAAAGCTTAGAGGCAAACATCTGAAATATTGAAGATTTTATAAAATTTGTGCAATGAATTATCAATGGGCTATTTCAGAAGTTTATTAAGGAAACTGTAAAGCAACATTTAGTGTATGAGGATCTGAATAAGATGCTTGAATTGGAGGCACAGACGTCTGCTTTTCAAAAGTATTTAAATAAGCAGCAGGGGAATGATGTAAAACCAAAAGCTTGTTTCACTATACAGGAAATAAAGAAATTCAAACCAAAGACAAAGTTTTGGAAGACACCAAAAGAAAGACTGTGTGAATAGAATGTTAACTAGCAACCTACTAAGGAAAAGGTCAATTTAAATATGCCTTAAACTGCCAATTTGTTCTTTACATCATTTGACAAATGATTCAGACCCTGTATCGTATGTATCTAAACTGCTATAATGTTCTTGCATTACATCTGTTAATGGAATGGAAACATCAAATAATTTGAGCTGCATGGAAGGTTGGAAGGAAATAGCTACAAGCTAGTTAACAAGTTTTCAAAGATAAATGTTTCTAGCTGTTTTTTGTCTTGACCCACTGACTCAATACAAAAATACTTATAGGGCATAGTTTCTTTGGTCTCTGTAGCTCATGGAAGCCCATGGTGCAGGAATTTATGATTTTCAAGCCAATGTTAAATAATATGAAATATACTTATTTTACAAATATAGGGGTAAAAAATAGAGAATATTGAAATAGAGAGCAAGATAATCAGCAATTAAAATAAAAAAATCATAAATCTCAAATTGTAAAGATACAGTATGTCAGGAATATACCCAAGCAGCTGGTGCAGTTAGAAGCACTTGATTTGTTTTATTCTCTGGCACAGCTTTGGCAAAGGAGTAATGAATCAGAAGCAATTTGGGATAAACAAATTTTATTAACAATGACAATAACACAAAATAAATAATGCACAACACAACATACAACACACAAGTTATCTAGTTTACAAACAAGGCACCTCAGAAGCCTACGTCCTGACCATCCAGAAATACCCAGAAACTGCTACCCAGTATTGATAAATCCTATATAAAGTGTAACAGTCCAAAAAAGACATAGAAATGCATCCTAAATACAATACAATACAGAATACAGAATGCGTATCAAGCAAGACTTCTGTTAGCAGTAAGCAAACTGAGGTGTAATGCAGTGTGTTTTGCACACACGATGATTGATAGGTGGCACTTGTAGAGTGTTAGATGTTGTTAGTAAACGGTAACTTTATTTAATCTTTTTCGCTACTTCTTATAATCCACTTCATATAGATTATGAAATCAGGTAACTTAAAGGGAAATTGCAGTCCCAATTTGTCAGACCTGTTATTAAATCTTGGTAACAAAATAAATTCATTGACGTTAGAGAAAAAAATGACACATTTCAAATTAATCACAAAATCATGAAATTTGTGAAAGTACTGAAAGTTGCCATGTCGACGTAACTAGCATTTGAGTTCCCATGAATTGCCTTGTCATGCAGCCCTTCCTGCTCACTAATGAGTCTCTGTAATGAATAAAGTAATGGGATGTATAAGCATATACAGTAAATACAGATTGTGCAACAGACATTACACTGCAGAAATGTTCCAACGTGATCATCATGTATGTGTGACCGTCGCAGTTCCGCGCGGGCTCGTACCCTCCGCCACCCGTTCCGTCCCGCAGCACCTGGGGCGCAAACCCGGGTCTCCGGCACAACTCAACAGGGAACCAGCCGCATGAGCTTAAAGAGACCTCCCTCAGCCCAGACAGCTGAGCTCCCTGCTACGCGCAGTGAGGGCGGTGACGTCACTGTATCCGAACTAGCATCGCTGCACATGCATGAGTTAACAATAATTACTATTTGTCAATAAAACCGTCTCGAAGTCAAAATCAATATAACTAGCTACTTGTACAGCTACTAAGGTCTCTGAGTTATTTTGCTGAATATACAAACAGAATCACTTTGTAAGAGTAGATATACTTGAATCAAATCTACTCTAAATCTCCTTCATTCTAGCCTTTATCAACTTTGATGCTCCCCTTAGACCCTTCTCTCCTGCTCTTTGAATTCTGTTTTTTGAGGTGTGGTGACCAAAAATTAACCCAATTTTCTGTGTGAGGTCTTAGAAGTATGTTTTCAACATTCTTCTTTTTATTGTTTGTCTTCTTGAGGACATTAATACATTTATACAAATGAGCAGATCCCTTTCATACTGTACATTTCTGCAGCCTAGAAACTTAAAATCTTACACAAAGATTCTTAGATGATCATGTATAAAAAGTGTCAATAACTATCTAAACCCATAAATAACTAATCTAATTTTTTCATGGATTTTAAAGTCATGCAATTTTAGGTAGGAACATGCTTTTATTTTCTTTAATTTTTAAAAGAATCAGTTGCCCATCATGCCAGAGAATGTTACATTTTTTTATGTTTTTGGTATTTATTTATTGAACACAATGTGATCTATAAAAATAAAACATCAATATAATGTATATAATATTAACTACTTTAAATGCATATTTGTTAAAGGAGAACTCGTCCCCTGAGCAGGATTCAAACCCCACCCACCTTCCAAAATCACTTACTGAACCCATTATGCCAACAAGCTACTTGGCAGCTTAGGCTATAGCTGAAAAGGGCAGGAAAATGTTTCCACGTAATCAGTGAGCGAATAATTAATGAAGCAGATGTTTACAAAGAAAGTGAACTACGGTAATAATTTTAACGATATGAATGCAATTAAATCCTAAAATATCATTATTAATTTATTTAGATATGTGATTCCATATTATATTCCCTATTAATCAAATTCTAAAAAGTATGCAAGTACTTTTGTATTCAAACAAAAGATTAATACGGGGAATATAGAAGGAATTTCAGAAATTAAACAAAGGTCTGGAGCACCCTGTCTCAAAAATAGACGTTTAATAAATTGAAGGTTGTGAAAACAGTAACAAATCACCCCAAACAAAATACTATTTTAAAATACAAGCAGTTTGAAATTATTAGTTGTTATTAATAAATAATTTAACATTGAACATGTTGTGATATTTAGAAATACGAACAAATTCAATATAGTGTCGATAATATTAATATTTTAGTTTTTCAAAGAAATGTAGAAAAATTAAAGAAAACTTATGCTGAGAGCTGGGCTCAAACTCCCGACCTCCAGCATGTGAGTCATATGCTAAACCCATCACACCGATGCACCGCTTGACAACTTAAAGTATATAAACTTAATATAAGGAGCGCGTAAAGACTTTTCCAAAATAACCACACTTAGTAACTGAATGAAAGACTTTGATGCTTTAAATGTTTATGAAGAAAGTGGAATACTGGTGTGTATTTTTTATTTAAACTACCAATACCAGCCATATACAGTACAGCTTACATAATATGTTTATATTCCTAAATAAATATCGTTTATGACCTTCAGACATGTTATGCTCCTCTTTTTTTTCTTCTCATCTACCAAAATTTCCCTTTAGATATAAAAATTCTATTTTAATATTCGATATTAAGTGGATTTAAACATGTACAGTAAAGAGATTAAAGGCAGCAATTGTTTCACTAATAACCAATGCACCACGAGTGCTGCCTGTAGGTCATTTTGGCCAGCCAATCATGTACTGCGGTATTCCGCGCTCATCTGCAGATAATTTCGGTATGGCCTTTTACCACGCATTTTAAATGGCTGCATTTGTGTATTGTCAGCATTGTCTTCTGGGCTATTCCTTTAATGTAAAAGAGATCTCATTCCCAGTGAAAGTCCAACAGAATAAAGATTGCATTTCCTACTTGTCCTAGTTTAGTGGATCCTGCTGATGGCTTGCAATTTTACACATACAGATAGAGATGTCAGCAGCTACTGTATAATTTCAGTGTTAGTTTCTCATGATTCTTTCATATTGTACTTCATTTTTACTTCAGCAACATTTGACTTTTTTATGCTATTTCACATACCTCCTCACTGGAAGTCCTGAAATCCATGTGCTATGGCACAGTGAGGAAAGCTGGCCTGTGATAAAAAAGAGAAAAGACAAAAATGTGTTAAAAAAAGGAACAAAAACAATAACATTACAGGCAGCCATAAAAGTTATCATTTTATTACACGTATTAACCCTTTTACACACATTGAGTCTGAATCACAGATTGCTATTACAGCATCAAGTAACCCCAGTAGAGGACAGCATAAAATTCTAAAAACAAGGACAAATAAATTAAGATGACAGAAGATTACTATTTTCTGTGTGGAACTTAATTGATCATCATGTGTAAGGAAATAAAGATCTAACCTGTTTTACATATAGCTATATCTACCATATTGAAAATCCTGAGCGTGTTGTTTATGCTGACAAAAATCCATCCAAAGCTCACTAGAAATGTACTTTAATTAATGCACTGACATTGTGACTATTTGTGTATTTGGTATTAAGATTTGGCCTGTGGCATTGTCCATTTGTGTTTTTAATGATGGTTTTCTGGTCATGAGTATGACATCTTAATTACAAGAATGTCAATGGACAGTATAGGCAGTTCTTGAAGTCTTGATCGTCCTTGTCGAGCATAGCTCCAATCTAAAAGACCACTATATCTGCAGTTTTACTGAGTTATTAGATTTATCTAATCATTTACTTAACTTCCGTAAGTTCTTTAGTTCGTGGAGGAATGAAGACTTCAAATAGCTCTGTTTCTTAAAATCACAGGGCAAATGTGAATTTGATTAAATCCAGCACATTAATTGCAATTAATTAGTAAATACATATCAATCTCCAATGAAAAGGCAATATGTTGTATCTCTTTCATGTTCTTGTAAAATGTCCTAATAAATACATCTCCCCTTGTCAGCGACCACAGGTGCACACATTCTAGGAATTCTGTCTCACAGCACAAGCAATATATCTTTTTAATGGTAAATTAGAATCACCAATTATATTAATATAAAGCCACCAGATTTACTGGACTGATAATAACTGTGGTTCTCAAGTTTCCTTTTCTCTTGGACCTGAAAAATGCAGTTTTATATTCAAATGTTGTTACATGTGTCCAAAATACCAATTTCTGTTCAGCTGTTCACTTAAAGTTGTGACGTTTTCACGTTTTGACATTCATCGGAACACTCTACTTTCTCTTTCCAGTTCAGTCACTTTTGTCTGCATGTACTTACTTTTCAGAATGTTTGAGCATTTGTCTTTCACTTGAAGGTTGCATGCTACAATGTGTAAAAAAGGTCAAATACAATCTGATGTAATGTGTCTGAATTTCAGGCTATTAGGTCACAAAATGTATCACCTTGGAAAGGGTGTGTAGGCTTTTTTTTCTTAAAGGCACTTTAAATAACACTACCTGGTTAGTATACTACAAAGGAAACAACTGGTGATTCTGAATAGGCCGAGTGTGTAATAAAAACAGAGATTCTAAATTAAAAAAATAAATAAGAAAAGGATGAAGGAAAACCAGATAAATGGGTATGAGCTAATGAATTACTACTGAATGCATATATTGCAAACCAAAATATTCTATTTTTTTTTTCTAACCAAGCCATTATCCACTTGGAATAATTCCATGTTGTTAAAAACATTCACTACTTGCCTTCCTTGACCTTCCCAAAGGCTAGTGTTCCAATCATGATTAGATTACGCTTGACAGCTGCAAGAATAAATCCTCCTTGATTAAGGTTCGTTAACATTTAATCATTATAAGTAAGAGAAAAGCTAAAGCCAAATACCAATAACTGATATTGTGACTTGAATAAAGCATTTAGCATTGTCTAGCTTTTTAAAAATATATATATATTATTTTAAATGTTTTTGAATTGGAATTTTTCCTCATTTTTTACTGTTGTATTATCAGATTTGCACTAATATACAGTAGCCAGATACAGCATATTATTACATCTCTACTTTTTGTTTTGAAGTCTTTATCATTCTATTTGGCTATTATTTTAATATTTGTACTTTTCAAAGGTTTTTTGCACGTTTTCTTGTGTTTTTTAGCATATCTTTTTTTTCTGAAACATGTATCATTACAAAAAAAAGTAAAATCTAAGTCCTTTTGTGTAAGACTAGAAAATCCTAACTTTAGCCATATCTGGTGTGTTTACATCAAAGTCCTTTTGGTTTAACCTGTTTTGCTGCAATTGAGCTCATAGGCCAGATACATTTTAGCCTACTTCCAGATTTAAACCTCAGTTTAACCATTTCAGTTATTCAATTAATAATGAACTGCTGATGGAACAGTTTGCCAACAGTAAAAACAAATAATAACAAGAACATTTATGATTCCTGATGCACTGGAAAGAACTGTATGAAGCATTCACAGGTTAAACAGGTCATAGATAAGCTTTCTTATTGATATTTATTAGATGCTAGTGTGATTTGTTTCCATCAAATGGAAATGAATCACATAAGCACATGGAAAAGAAATCAGTATGGAATTCTAATGGCTCCATTCACACTCGACTGTGATCTGTGCTGTATGATAAACCCAATAGCTAATTAATGTGACATAAGAATCTGTTGTACTGTACTGTACAATAGGCTTAATTCAGTTTGTCCTACGAAAATGTTTAAAATTACAATAAAGATGACCCAGGAATCTCATGCATGTATGCTATTGAATACAGAAATCTATAAATCTCAAAATGAGTATTAATCAATCTCAATCGCTTAATTACAGTTCCTGAAAAAGTATTGGCAATGTCAAAACAGTGAATACATATCTGCAAACTTTATTTCAGTTTGGAAAATTTCCAGTAGAAAATGTCCTAAAGCCATCAATGGAAACCACTTTTTCTCCGTGTTTAGACAGCGCCATACAGCCCAATTGATACTGAAAACATACAATGGCCTCACTATAAGACAGACATCATATTCGGGAAGCAATTTAAAAGCAAATTAAATGTTTGGGTTTTTAGTGAAAAGCAACACATTTAAAAGAAGAGATGTTATTTTAAAATTGTATAATGTACAAGTAAGGGCTCATTTGTAATACTATGTGCACGTTTGGTCACTATGTTACAGAATAAATATTGCTGCTCTGGAATCAGTCCAGAGAAGAGCAGACTGTTTCATTCCTGGGCTCACTGACAGGCTGAAGGAAATTAATGTTTTTAGTCTTGAACAGGAAAAAAAAGGTGATGGGATTTGATACAAGTACAGTATTGAAGATCCTCAAGGGATCTTATAAAGTCAAAACAGCAGTCCAATCATTTCCCAGCCAGCCAACCAGAAAACAACCATTTATTTACCCCAATGGATATAGAACAAAGGAACAAGTAAAGGTTTATTCCATGCTGAAAAGAGAAGAAAAGAAACCCAATGTCTCAGCTATGGAGCCTTCTTCGGGTGTGAGAAAGAGAGGGAAGTCAGCAGCTGATAAAGCATGGGAGAACTAAAGCAGGGTGTTTAGTGGAGGCGGGAGCAGGAGAGATGCAGAGTGAACACTCATATGGTTTGAAGTCGAGAGAGGTGTGAAGTCTTAACGCTTAGCGTGGTCGCAAGCGACCCCGGTCTATGAAAAAATTTACTTAAAAGGAGCATCTCACTTCATCGTTTTATATCACCAAACCCGCAAAACCTTTACAGAAAACCTTCTATCAATCGATAAGAGGTTCAACTAGAGCTTCACAGAACCTTTTTTAGAACCAAAAAAACCCCGTTAATTTAATCAAACTATGCCTGTGCGCCGAATAGTCTCAAGCGACCACAGTGTAAGTCAATATTTACTTTTGAGTCCTGCATCATATTTAATTGTTTTTTACCAATAAAACAACAAAACCTTTACAAAACCTGTTATCAATCGAAAAAGGACAACTGGAGCTTTAAAAAAATGTTTTCAGAACCAAAAACTACCAAGGCAATCAATCACGAAGATTTATCTGATGATGATTTATCTGATGATGCACTTCCAAACTTCCAAAGTGCATCGATAAGGTAAACAATAAGCCAGCAAAACATGACCGCAAAAGCAAAAACCAGCAAAATATATATATTTATCCCATGTTTTTACCTTATTCTGAAGCACGATATATATATTCACAAAAGGCTAGACTAACCCACCTCCAGACCTGGAGGAAACTGAACGTTATTGGGTTTGGAATAGATATTTGAAACAGGACTGCCAGTAATAAGGTGATCTGATTGGTAATAAACGCTGTCATTCATTGTATTGTAAGTCATTTAGAGCCCTTAGGGGGTGAGACTTCCTCTAGAAGCCTCAGGCTGTATTCCACCTGCCTTCTATCTGTCAATCATTGACCCAGAAGGGGTAATCAATCAGATTCTTATCAGTGGTCCTTTTTTTCACACCAGAAGACAACTCAGGTTTTTTTTTCAATGCCTAACAGCAGAAAATGGCTTTCTAGCAGTGTCTGAAGGTTTTTACAGCAATTGCAATTGGTTTTTATTGTTATTGCTTTCAATATTTTTATGATTTATTTTGGGATGCGAGAAATTTCATTCCAGGTCCAGTCTTCACAAAACATTATGTAGAATTTTCTCAAATTGATCAATTTGTCCCAACTTTTTTATCCAAGCTAGTAGATAAAAAGGCCTACAAAGCATTTTCAGCTACCTGACAGGCCTAGAATTGAAGATTCTGACCTCTGAAGACCAAAACAAAATTTCTGCCTGCTGGTTTTGGGTTTTTGTTTCATATGATTGTCTGCTGAGTGGACACATTAAGAAATAAAATAAAAGTGACTGTTCACACTCAAAGCCAAGGGGGTTAGCTTCAATTTAAGACCTGAACCAGGCTCCTGCTACTGTATGTTCTGCTGCAGAGATATAAGAAAATGTATTAGGGGAAGAAATTCTGACATTGGCTAAAAGTGTCTCGGACAGAAAGCTGAGCCAACACAAGGACCCCGCGGGCGGTAGTCCGGAAGTCCGGGACTCCATTTGTTTTGTTTTTTCTCCTTAGACCCTTTTTTGTTTAGGGTTTCGGAGCCTCCCTGGAAAGGAGGGGGGTACTGTCACAACCGTAAGTCCCTCCTCTTAAGGGTGCTCCGGCTCTTTC